ATTTGTAACGGCGTAATCACTGCATTCGGACTCTCATTTGTAACGGCGTAATCACTGCATTCGGACACTCATTTGTAACGGCGTAATCACTGCATTCGGACTCTCATTTGTAACGGCGTAATCACTGCATTCGGACACTCATTTGTAACGGCGTAATCACAGCATTCGGACACTCATTTGTAACAGCGTAATCACTGCATTCGGACACTCATTTGTAATGGCATTATTACTGCATTCGGAGACTCATTTGTAACGGCGTAATCACTGCATTCGGACACTCATTTGTAACGGCATAATCACAGCATTCGGACACTCATTTGTAACAGCATAATCACAGCATTCGGACACTCATTTGTAACAGCGTAATCACTGCATTCGGACACTCATTTGTAACGGCGTAATCACTGCATCCGGACACTCATTTGTAACGGCGTAATCACTGCATTCGGACACTCATTTGTAACGGCGTAATCACTGCATTCGGACACTCATTTGTAACGGCGTAATCACTGCATTCGGACTCTCATTTGTAACGGCGTAATCACTGCATTCGGACACTCATTTGTAACGGCGTAATCACTGCATTCGGACTCTCATTTGTTACGGCGTAATCACTGCATTCGGACACTCATTTGTAACGGCGTAATCACAGCATTCGGACACTCATTTGTAACAGCGTAATCACTGCATTCGGACACTCTTTGTAATGGCATTATTACTGCATTCGGACACTCATTTGTAACGGCGTAATCACTGCATTCGGACACTCATTTGTAACGGCATAATCACAGCATTCGGACACTCATTTGTAACAGCATAATCACAGCATTCGGACACTCATTTGTAACAGCGTAATCACTGCATTCGGACACTCATTTGTAACGGCGTAATCACTGCATTTGGATGCTCATTTGTAACGGCGTAATCACAGCATTCGGACACTCATTTGTAACAGCGTAATCACTGCATTCGGACACTCATTTGTAATGGCATTATTACTGCACTCGGACACTCATTTGTAACGGCGTAATCACTGTATTCGGACACTCATTTGTAACGGCATTATTACTGCATTCGGACACTCATTTGTAACGGCGTAATCACTGTATTCGGACACTCATTTGTAACGGCGTAATCACTGTATTCGGACACTCATTTGTAACGGCGTAATCACTGTATTCGGACACTCATTTGTAACGGCGTAATCACTGCATTCGGACACTCATTTGTAACAGCGTAATCACTGAATTCGGACACTCATTTGTAACAGCGTAATCACTGTATTCGGACACTCATTTGTAATGGCGTAATCACTGCATTCGGACACTCATTTGTAACGGCGTTATCACTGCATTCGGACACTCATTTGTAACGGCGTAATCACAGCATTCGGACACTCATTTGTAACGGCGTAATCACTGCATTTGGACACTCATTTGTAACGGCGTAATCACTGCATTCGGACACTCATTTGTAACGGCATTATTACTGCATTCGGACACTCATTTGTAACAGCGTAATCACTGCATTCGGACACTCATTTTTTAACGGCGTAATCACTGCATTCGGACACTCATTTGTAACGGCATTATTACTGCATTCGGACACTCATTTGTAACAGCGTAATCACTGCATTCGGACACTCATTTGTAACGGCGTAATCACTGCATTCGGACACTCATTTGTAACGGCGTAATCACAGCATTCGGACACTCATTTGTAACGGCGTAATCACAGCATTCGGACACTCATTTGTAACAGCGTAATCACTGCATTCGGACACTCATTTGTAACGGCGTAATCACTGCATTCGGACACTCATTTGTAACGGCGTAATCACTGCATCCGGACACTCATTTGTAACGGCGTAATCACTGCATTCGGACACTCATTTGTAACGGCGTAATCACTGCATTCGGACACTCATTTGTAACAGCGTAATCACTGCATCCGGACACTCATTTGTAACGGCGTAATCACTGCATTCGGACACTCATTTGTAACAGCGTAATCACTGCATCCGGACACTCATTTGTAACGGTGTAATCACTGCATCCGGACACTCATTTATAACGGCGTAATCACTGCATTCGGACACTCATTTGTAACGGCGTAATCACTGCATTCGGACACTCATTTGTAACGGCGTAATCACTGCATCCGGACACTCATTTGTAACGGTGTAATCACTGCATTCGGACACTCATTTGTAACGCCGTAATCACTGCATTCGGACACATTTGTAACGGCGTAATCACTGCATTCGGACTCAGCCAGAGAGTCTCCATCAGTGCAGGCTGGCTGGAATTTAGCTGGATTTGTAACGGCGAATTAATGTCAGAGGAAACAACTTGCTTTAAATATTAGTTCCTGTGGTTGTCTGCATCTTTTGCTATGTTTGAATCCAGCTACTGTGTCCTCTGAAGGCTAGATCCATCGGCCGATGACATCATAGCGTGGCGTCAACATCTGATCAGATTGGAAGACTCATCATTGCGCAGCCAACAAATGCATCCTTCTTTTTTTTCCATTTTGAGGAACGAGTCCGCTGTATCCTACGTAGCCTTGGGTATCCCATGATTCATTGTGAGTCCAAGCAAGCCGGCTGCTCCGCTTACAGCTGTGTCTGCAGGTCTTAAAGCTGTGTCTGCAGGTCTTACAGCCGTGTCTGTACCTGTAAGACCTTCAGACACACCTGTAAGACCTAGAGAACGCAGCTTTATGTTGGAGACTTTATTATGAAGGTAAACCGCTAATGTATCAAAGCCAGTGCACGCTGCAGGCTCGACGCTTACCAATTAGCCCAGTCTTATAGCTGTGCCTACAGGTCTAACAGGTATGTCTGCAGGTCTTACAGGTGTGTCTGCAAGTCTAACAGGTGTGTCTGCAGGTCTTACAGGTGTTTCTGCAGGTCTTACAGGTGTGTCTGCAGGTATAACCGGTGTGTCTGAATGTCTTACAGTTGTGTCTGCAGATCTTACAGGTGTGTCTGTAGGTCTTACAGGTGTTTCTGCAGGTCTAACAGGTGTTTCTGCAGGTCTAACAGGTGTTTCTGCAGGTCTTACAGGTGTTTCTGCAGGTCTCACAGGTGTGTCTGCAGGTCTTACAGGTGTTTCTGCAGGTCTAACAGGTGTTTCTGCAGGTCTAACAGGTGTTTCTGCAGGTCTTACAGGTGTGTCTGCAGGTCTTACAGGTGTTTCTGCAGGTCTTACAGGTGTTTCTGCAGGTCTAACAGGTGTTTCTGCAGGTCTAACAGGTGTTTCTGCAGGTCTAACAGGTGTTTCTGCAGGTCTAACAGGTGTTTCTGCAGGTCTAACAGGTGTTTCTGCAAGTCTAACAGGTGTGTCTGCAGGTCTTACAGGTGTTTCTGCAGGTCTAACAGGTGTTTCTGCAGGTCTAACAGGTGTTTCTGCTGGTCTAACAGGTGTTTCTGCAGGTCTAACAGGTGTGTCTGCAGGTCTTACAGGTGTTTCTGCAGGTCTAACAAGTGTTTCTGCAGGTCTAACAGGTGTGTCTGCAGGTCTTACAGATGTGTCTGCAGGTCTAACAGGTGTGACTGCAGGTCTAACAGGTGTTTATGCAGGTCTAACAGGTGTGTCTGCAGGTCTTACAGGTGTTTATGCAGGTCTTACTGATGTGTCTGCAGGTCTAACAGGTGTGACTGCAGGTCTAACAGGTGTGTCTGCAGGTCTAACAGATGTGTCTGCAGGTCTTACAGGTGTGTCTGTAGGTCTTACAGGTGTTTATGCAGGTCTAACAGGTGTGTCTGCAGGTCTTACAGGTGTTTCTGCAGGTCTTACTGATGTGTCTGCTGGTCTAACAAGTGTTTCTGCAGGTCTTACAGGTGTTTATGCAGGTCTTACTGATGTGTCTGCAGGTCTAACAAGTGTTTCTGCAGGTCTAACAGATGTGTCTGCAGGTCTAACAGGTGTGACTGCAGGTCTAACAGGTGTTTATGCAGGTCTAACAGGTGTGTCTGCAGGTCTTACAGGTGTTTCTGCAGGTCTTACTGATGTGTCTGCAGGTCTAACAGGTGTGACTGCAGGTCTAACAGGTGTGTCTGCAGGTCTTACAGGTGTGTCTGTAGGTCTTACAGGTGTTTCTGCAGGTCTAACAGGTGTTTCTGCTGGTCTAACAGGTGTTTCTGCAGGTCTTACAGGTGTGTCTGCAGGTCTTACAGGTGTTTCTGCAGGTCTTACAGGTGTTTCTGCAGGTCGTACAGGTGTGTCTGCAGGTCTTACAGGTGTTTCTGCAGGTCTAACAGGTGTTTCTGCAGGTCTAACAGGTGTTTCTGCAAGTCTAACAGGTGTGTCTGCAGGTCTAACAGGTGTTTCTGCAAGTCTAACAGGTGTGTCTGCAGGTCTTACAGGTGTTTCTGCAGGTCTAACAGGTGTTTCTGCAGGTCTTACAGGTGTGTCTGCATGTTTAACAGGTGTGTCTTTAGGTCTAACAGGTGTTTCTGCAGGTCTTACAGGTGTGTCTGCATGTTTAACAGGTGTTTCTGCAGGTCTTACAGGTGTGTCTGCATGTTTAACAGGTGTGTCTTTATGTCTAACAGGTGTTTCTGCAGGTCTTACAGGTGTGTCTGCATGTTTAACAGGTGTGTCTTTAGGTCTAACAGGTGTTTCTGCAGGTCTTACAGGTGTGTCTGCATGTCTAACAGGTGTTTCTGCAGGTCTTACAGGTGTTTCTGCAGGTCTAACAGGTGTGTCTGCATGTCTAACAGGTGTTTCTGCAGGTCTTACAGGTGTGTCTGCAGGTCTAACAGGTGTGTCTGCAGGTCTAACAGGTGTTTCTGCAGGTCTAACAGGTGTGTCTGCAGGTCTTACAGGTGTTTCTGCAGGTCTAACAGGTGTTTCTGCAGGTCTAACAGGTGTTTCTGCAGGTCTTACAGGTGTTTCTGCAGGTCTTACAGGTGTTTCTACATGTTTAACAGGTGTCAGTCATAATAGAGTCTCAGACATAAAGCTGTGTTCTCCACATTCTGCAGTTTCCTGCATGATGTCACGTTGTCTGGTTATGAAACTCCGCCCCTCTTCTCCGTGCGGCGGATCATGTGATCAGCTGATGCTCTCGGGTTTTTCCGGCTCTTTCCTTCAGTCAGCAGCAGCAGCAGAGCCTCTCAGACGGTGAGTTTTAAACCTTTAATCCACTTTAATAATTAGAAGTAATTCGATTTAATCCCGTATCATTTCATCTGCTGTTTATTCTAAGTTTGATTGAATTTGAGCTGATTTAGAGCAGTTATTGTGGAATCATGAGCTGGACGTTCTCCAGGAGTTTATCTGGAAGCAGAAATAATCCAATTAGATGAAACTTTAGTTTTCTAACAAAGTCCGAGGAGCAGATGTTTGCAGAAGGTTGATTTGCTGCAGGCGTTAACTATGGCTTTCATCTTAAAGCATTTTATCTTTATTATTTATAGTTCTTATACATTTAGGACATTTTGAAATACTTCTTTTCACAATAATTTAACGGAGTTCGCTTATCTTTAGAGATTAAATCCATGTTGCTTTTATAAACACATCTTTAGTCTTTTCTAATATTTGACTTTAATTTTTAGTTTTTTTTTTAAATCTTGTTACAGATATCGATGTTTTTCCCTTATTTATTATTTTTAATGTTTGCATCTTGTTTAGTTGTCTAAAGTATCACAGTTATTTCTTTCTCAAAATGTTATCATGAATCTTTTATTACTGAATTTATGAATGGATTTTTATCTTGAATATTTATTATTTGGGCGAATAGTTTTCTTGAAATGCAGCTTTATAATCTATTGACTCATGGAAACAACGCCTGGGTTAAACTGATGCAGTCTGTTTGTTTTTAGCAATATGGAGCGGAAACTGGATCTTTCCCGTCTGACGGACGAAGAAGCCAAACATGTCTGGGAGGTGATCCAACGAGACTTCAACCTCCGCAAGAAGGAGGAGGAGAGACTGACGTAGGTCATTTCCTCCTTTATCAGGTTTAATCGCAGACTTTTCATCCCAGATCTGCAGGCAAACAGTCAAAAGTTAAAATCAATCCTCTGGACTTAGTTTCCAAGTCTGAAGACGTTTCTCTTCCATCCAGGAAGATTTTTTAATCCAAAATGTCAGTAAAATAGCGTTTAGTTCCAGGTTTTATCCAGCAGCCCAACAAAGCCTGGTTTTAGTTTAGAAAACATGCAAATAGAAACGGATGAACGGGTCCCCCCCTTTGGAATGGGGGTCGTTTGGCTTCATTGTTAGCCTGCAATGCCCCATACCTGTCTATGTCTCTGAAAGGGGGGTCGTTAGAGGGAATAGTTGGCCTGGATGACTGAGAATCTTCACCAGCAGATCAACCATTAAACTAAGGAGGATCTTTGATCTGTTATCAAAGCAACTTGAAGCAAAGTCTTTGCTTAAAGGAAAAGTCTTTAAATCAGTCTGTGGAGCCGTCAGGGAGGGCTAACCTAATGCTGACCCCCCCACCCGTCTGGCTCTGGGTAAATGCAGGTGCTGTGAGGGGGAGGATGGGGTGTACAGAGCAGGTATTGGGGGGGCGTGTCCACATGTGCGGCGGGGAGTGAGGAGGGAAACCTTGAATCCAGGTGGAGCCAGTGAAGGGGGGGGGCAGTGATGATCTCATCCAATAAAGTCTGTTTCCGTCACCCGGTCTGGAGGAGGTGACGCCATGGAGCCGCTTTCCAGCAGGGGGGGCGGAGTCTGGAGATATTCTAGAAAACAAAGTCCTGCAGCAGCGATTCACACGCCCAGATTTATGACTATTGGTGAAAAAGGGGGAGGAGCCAGAAAAGGTGATACTGGTTATGGGTGACGAGTCTGATGGGGGGGGGGGCAGAAAGGCTTCAGCTTTGCTCCATCCACACCCTTAACTCCTCATCCTTCGTCTCTAACAAACTTTACATCACTAACTGGACCAGGTCCCGTCTAGGACCCTTTCTGGACTGTTTGTCCCTCAGCGTTGTCCAGGTGTTGCCAGGCAACAGAGCGCTGGGTGTGATTCTCTGAACCTCCTGTTGGTTCATGTGACTCTGGCTGGAATGTGAGCGTGAAAGATGCTGTTGTTACTGCAGTCGATCACGCCGCCATCATACGCTCTGAGATCACAAGCTTGCCCTGTTTCCCATGAAGCCTCCATCTCCCATCAGGCCCGGGGGCAGACGGCGCCGCGGAGCAACAGAATGACTGTGTCCTCTGTGGCCCAGCTGCTTCTGTAATCACATTCAAACTGTGCAAATCCGATTTTACTGCAGCAGAGAAAACAAACGTCTTTTTGTGGTCCGACTCCTGAAATCAGGAGATTAGCAGCTGATAAACATCAGCAGATCCAATCTTCTCCTTTACAGAAACCATAACTGGCTCCATTAAGTTTGGTCTTAATCTGAGATCAAGTGAATTCAGGTGTAAAGGAGAATGATATTCCTGTTCTTCCTGTTGGCAGTGAGCTGAAGACTCAGATTGAGAAGGAGGACACCAAGCGTGAGCTTCTGGGTTCTCAGAGGAACGTCTCGGATTCTCTCTGCATCCGCTGCCTGCAGCCCTTCAAGTTCCTGGTCAACAGCAAGAGGCAATGTTTGGACTGCCGCATGTTCACCTGCAAGTCCTGCAGCCGCTACAACAAGAAGGAGCACGGCTGGGTGTGTGACAACTGCCGCATGACCAGGTGAGATAGATGGGACACTGGTGGACGATCAGGGGACAGGTGGAGGTTAGGACAGAAGGGACAACAGCATAATGGATGGAAGCACCAGAAAACAGAAGGAGGTGGAAGGGTTTTAGCAAAGACTGTTATTAAACTAGCAGGAGTCAGGAAGCAGAGCGAGAGACGAGTCCATCAGGAGACACTTGGACATCAGATCATTAGCAGAAAGCTGGAGGGACGGAGGACAAAGGAGACAATCAGAAGCTCGGTGGGACAGACCAAGTCAGTACCATGGAAACCAGGATGATGGACGGTTTAATTTTAATTCAATGCAGTTTATATCTACAACTCCAATTCAAATCATGGCATCACAGTTCATGTTATAGATCCAAATCAATCAGATCATCTATCAGATTGTTTCAAAGTTTCTCTTAAAGGAAAAAAAAAACTACTGATATTTCTCTCCAGGATGGAGTCACAGTCAGAGAAACAGGACTACACTGGAAAACAGGCCAAGCTCCAACATCTAGAAACAAAGGTGTTGATGGCAGCAGCACAGCTGATATTTCTCTCCAGGATGGAGTCACAGCCAAACAGGAACAGACCAGATGAAGCTACTATGAGAAAAAGCAGAGAGAGCAGAACGTTAGAGATTGAACTAACAGATTCTGCAGAGTGGGAGAATAGAGATAGAATGAAGCAGAATGATGAAAAAGGGGTCCCTATGTCCTCCAGCAGTCTAAGCCTATAGCAGCATAACTATAGAGATAGATCAGGATAACCTGAGCCACTCTAACTAGAAACTTTATCAAAAAGGAAAGTTTTAAGCCTAGCCTTAAAGTAGACAGGGTGTCTGCCTCACCGAATATCATTAGTGACTTTCACCAGAGCTGTTTCAGTGCTATGATGAGCTCTAAAGACAAATAAAAATATAAGAGTTTATTGAAAAAACATTCAGGTCCAAGTCAAACTGATTTCAGTTAAAAACTTTTGACTTAAGACTAGTAAAACTCAGCTACTCTAAGCTAGTGAGCACAAAGAGAACGGAAACATGGATTAAAACCATAATCAATGAGATGATGCAATAATATCACAGTTTAGCTGGATTTTAAGTTTGATAACCAAAGTTTATCTGGAAGAATGTGATCAAATTCGCTTTTCACTTATTTACAGCGAATCTTTAAACAAATTCACAATGAAAATCCAAGAGGTGATAAAATATAATTTGGTCAAATAATGTTTTATTAAATTATTTGCTTAATCAGAAACCAATAACCTTCAGTTAAGGATTTTTACCCTCTTTCAGTGAGCTAGCTTTAGCAGACAGGAGACAACATGAGTTTGACTTTCTCCACCATCCAGCACCTTCGCTTGGCAGAGTTTTCCTTTGTTCATTGGGGGGAGGTCTACTAACCTCCAGGCAGGACCTAAAGGTTCTGACACAGTTGGAAACTGCCAGTTTTGCAGCACTTTGGTTGTGAAACGTCAGCCACCATGACTAAGGCCCCGTCCACACGAAGTCAAACCCTGGCCTAAACGCACAAATTTTTCACCAAACCAGCCTCTCATCCATACCAAGCCGGCGTTTCGGGAGTCTGTAAACGATCTTTTTTTTATTCAGCCTTCAGAGTGGGAAGATTTCAAAACGCCGTTTTCACGTTTCCATCTTTACGCTCTAAACGCATATTTTTTTTTACACGCATGCGTCATAGCGTCGCCTCTAAACACGCATGCGCGACACAGTATCACAACAACAATGGCGCCGTTGCTGCTCATGCTACTCACCCTGCTGTCGGGCTTACAACAGAATCTTCTTCTTCTGGAATATCTCCAGGAAGAACAGAGCAATATCGACCACATAGTTCAGCACCTGAATTTGACTGAACCACCAAAATGGACCCGCAGGGCAACCATGTATAAATATTAGTGCGCATGCCCAACATTTCGTCACCTACTTTTGCTTTGGCACCACAGCGCCACTTATAGGCCTGGCATACATTTTGCAGCGTTTTCATGCATTCGTGTGGACGATCACATTTATTTTACGTCTCCGTCTTTACAAGAAACGTTCTGGAAAATATCAGCGTTTCGTGTTCGTTTTGACTTCGTGTGGACGGGGCCTCAGGCTGGGTCATTCTGGAGTTCTGGACCTTGGGTCTGGGCATTCCTTGATGTCTCCCTCCCTCCCAAAGGGGAAAGTAGAGACAGCTGCTTTTGTCCTCAGTGCATAGTGGGGGGCCAAGGCGTACCTCTGAGGAGCGTCTCTTAAAGTGAATTGGGGGAGGGGTGCAAAAGCTTTGAGAGGAGAGCAGGACTGTGGGGCAAAACGTCACGCTCTACCTTGGTGAACATATTCAGATCAAATGAGATTATTATCATGGTTTATGGCCCAACAGCTTGTTCACCTTCTGGAGATAAACCAGTCATGTTCAGATCAGCTTGTTCACCTTCTGGAGATAAACCAGTCATGTTCAGATCAGCTTGTTCACCTTCTGGAGATAAACCAGTCATGTTCAGAGGGGTGTTTGGTGGGGAAAGATCTGCTATTAATTCCATTTTACAAACATTGATTTCTGAGTGCTGAGTTTCATTCATTCAGGCCTCAAAGCTGCAAGTCTACAAGGTTTCTAAGGGAGAGTTGTTAGTTATGTTATTAGGGAGTGTTTGGGGAAAAATAAAAGTTATAAGCTAGCTGTTTCTCTACAGAGATCTTATTTTAATAGAATCAATCTCATTTATGAAGAATCACATAAAAGTTGATGCTCTGAATTAAACCAGTGAGTCAGCTTTCTATTTTAGGTTTTATTTTTCAAAGGGACGCATTGGAATATCGTTCGGTCACACAGAGGATAGGAGAGAGAAAGAGACACAGATTCTTTAAAACTTATAACTGCACTATCTGATAATGATCTGATAAAATGTAACTTTCTTTTGGGGGAGGAGAACTCTGTTAAAGTAATCCTGAAGGTTATTAGAAAGTGGTCAGAGAGGAAATCCTGTTATTTCTTCACATTCTATGCCGTATGTCAGCACAAGATCCAAAGTATGAAGATGAGAATGTGTGGGACTATTCACATTTTGAACAAAGCCAATAGTGTCTAAGATAGCATTAAAGGCTGCTCTTAAGCTATCGCCTTCAATGTCAGCATGGATGTTAAAATCTCCCACTATGATGACCCTGTCAGTATTTAATACCAAATCAGAAAGGAACTCTGAAAACTCATCTAAAAATTCAGAGTAAGGACCTGGTGGACGATACAAAGTTACAAAAAGAAGAGGTTTTCTTGCCTTGAAATTTGGATCAGGGAAATTAAGGGTTAAATGTTCAAAAGAGTTGTAGGTATTAATTGTTTTGGGAGTAATCAGTAAGTCAGACTGGAAGATTGTTGCTACTCCTCCTCCTCGCCCAGAACTTCTGGGGATGTGAAAATTTAAATAGCTTGAAGGAGTTGCCTCATTTATGCTCACATAATCCTCTTGCTGCAGCCAGGTTTCTGTAAGGCAACACAAGTCAATGTGATTATCACAAATCAAGTCAATAACTAGCAGACTTTTAGAGGAAAGTGATCTTATGTTAAACAGACCGCATTTAATCGTTTTAACTTTTTCCCCAATTGAAGTTATTTTGATTTTAATTAGATTATCATGATTTACTCCTTTGGGAATATTTGCTAATTTATTAGATTTTGGTCGTGGGCAAGACACTGTCTGGATGGAGTAAAGAGTGGGTAACAGTAGAGAAGCTGCAGAGAGGTCTGTTAAACTAGGACTCTACTTCCTGGGTAACAATAAAAATGAGTTAAAATGATTCCTGTCGAGAAGGATGCCGGGTTTCCCTCCTGGACCCATTAAGCCACAAGTTGGTTCTGAATAAGCAGAGTTCGGGTTCTTCAGATCCACCCTTTGGGTACTACTGCAGGTTTCTGTCATCATGACGTTTTTCTTCTTGTATTAAAGGGTATTAAAGATGGGGACATTAGGTTGGTACCACGACAACGTGAGAAACCGATTTAAGCGGTTTGGCAGTGCCAAGGTGATGAGGTCATTATACAAGCGTCTGAATGGAGATGGTGAGCGAATCACAGATCCTGATTTTCACGTGTACGTATTGCATGTGTGATTATTCAGTATCTGTGTTTGTGGTTCAGGTGGCCGTGATGACGACACTCAGAGTATGCCGGATGTTAACCGTAACCGTAAGTCTCTCAACGAGGCCATCCAGTTTATTTGTGCTACATGCATAAAAACAGGGCGAGACGTTGGACCTGCAATCCGGAAAGTTCTCCAAGGCACAGTCCCACTGACCGTGCTGCTTTATTTCAGATGGATACAACTGTCCTGAGGATGATCCTGGAGAGGCCGAGGCTCAACACTACAAAGTGGTAAACATGAATACGGAAGGAAAGGGTTTTTCTCCTAAACACAGAGCAGCGGTAACTGAAGCAGCTGTTTCAAACTTAGATGAGGAAGAACAAACGTCTGCTGTCGGTTCATCCCATGGACTTTGACTCGGAGGATTACCTTCCTAACTCACGACGGCCTTCTGTCCAGGTAAACTCCCGCTTAATGTCAACTCATTCCATGAGATACTTTAAGAAATCTGTAGTATTGATGATAAGTTTAAAAATTATACATGCAGATGCAGGATGATCGATATTACAGGAACGACATGGATTACGACTATTACAGCCACAGAGGGAACCGCAGAAAGAGTCTGGACCGCTATGCCATGAGACCCGGTCAGTGGATAGAACTCTATACTTTAGAGATAGAACATCTGGACTATGGGTGTGTACTGTGGGTATTTAGATCTAATCCTTTCTGGAGACACCTCACAGGTATTAGGACGATCTTTTCTACTCACAGCATCTTGGAAGAGGGTTTCTAAGGGTGATGGCTTGTTTTCTTAAACTAACATGGTCCTCATGACCTTCTTGAGTAGGTGACCTCAAGCAGGATTAGAAGCATTTGTATCTGAGTTAGAAGCAGCTGAATGAGGGTAAACACCTGGATGTTTGAGGCAATAGTCTTTAGCATGAAAAGGAGGAATTCCTATGGTCACAAGTTGCTAAAGTAATGACTGAAGATAGAACCCAGGAAAAGCCAAAGCCTTGTCAATAGTCATGAGCTCTGGGTCCAACAGAACAATAAAGTTCCTCAGACTGTGGGACCTAAACATGCTAGGTGAGGTGTTCACACCAGAGATTTCGCTGCTCTTCAAGCAAAGAAGTCAGCAGACGGGGTGGCAGGAGACCTTCTTTCCAAAGTAGTTGGACATGATCCACAGCAGGTGTCTCACAGATACTTGTAGACATCCTGGAATCCCACTGGATGAGCTGGAGGTAGCAGGAGGAAGGCGGGTCCAGAGAGTTCTGGTGCACCAGGACCTGGTTTTGGTTGGCAGCGTCTTCCATTGTTTGGTCACTGAATGCGTTGTGATAATAGTGACAGCATGTTGTCCCATCAAAATTATCCCACTTACTCCTTCATCTGCTGTCATTTGGTTGCTTTGCCGTATGACCAGAGGACTTTGCAGAGAACCGGATGGTCCGGACCCGCTCTCTGTCTAAGATCAGCTCCTCGGTGGCCAGGCAGCAGTATGTTGACACCTCGGATGAGGAAGAGTATCAGAGGCTCCCCCCTGTTCACCAGCAACCCCATCACCGCCGGAAGAACAGTAGAGCCTCTTCACAGGAGAACCTGGGTCAAGCTCCACCCGTAAGGACACACTGCCAGTCAGAACTGGGTCTGTAGGAGAGGAAAGAACCGCCAGATTATTCTTTTTTTGTCTGGCTTCTGTTTTGCAGATCAACGAACTCAACAAGCGGATGTCGGCCATTGAGAGTCTGCTGAGCCGCCTGGAGGAGAAGATGACTCCTGCTGATGAGGTAAGGCTGGACACATCAACCCGGAGGGAGATAAACCCTCCCCTCACTTCGCTTCCCGCCCAGAAACCCTCCTTCTTCCTGCAGGTCCTGAATCCATCTGCTCAGAATGAGGAGGAGAAGTTGAGAAGGAAGCTGAGTGAGCTGGCAGGGAACCTGAGCGATAAAGGCTTGTCGTCGGATGATGAGCCCAGGAAAAAGGCTTCCTTTGGAATCAAAAGTTCGTCTGGCATCAGGGGTGGAGCTGTGGTCCCTCTGGACTCACTGAAGGACAAAGAGCTGAGCTCGTCCAGCGATGAGATGCCAACAGAGGCTCAGAAGGTATAACGGCTGCTCCTGCAGCACATTCTGAGTAACAGCAAGCAGGAACCTGGATGAGGCCAAAGTTTCATCCAAACCTTTGCTTCCATGCTGCTGCTGGTGCAACTCCTCATTCTGGGAGTAAGGAATCACACTACCTTTGAATCCAATCAGATCCAGGTTCCTGTTTGTCGGGGCATCAGCGTGGCTCTGCTTTCTCCTGGGAAGGTATGATTCCACCAGGACAAAGCCACAGCGTGCACTGAGACCTCTTCATGTGGAAAAGTCTAAACTCTGTCTTTCTTCGCCAAGCATGAAATTCAGAAGAAAGATTGAAGATGTTAAAGTGCATGAAAACCTCCTCATTAACAGCCCCTCCTGTCAGGTTGTGTTAATGTGAAGCAGCTACCTGCCTGGACCCCCACCAACCCCAGGAGCTGCTTGAGCATCCAGTCTGGTAGCTGCTGCAGAGACGTTTTGTTTTCCAGCTGCTAACATCTGTCCCTCTACATGGCTTTCAGAGATCCACTGCCGCCGCCCTCTGTGACCTCACCACTGAGGTCCTGAGAACCATTAACGCCACAGAAAACGCAATGGTCGAGTACGGCCTTGCAGAGCCGATCGACAGGTCCCCCTTAGTTGGCACTGACGTAAAGCAGGCCGATGATGCTTTCAGGGAACTTGAGGAAAATGTAAGCTTCCGATGTGACCTGCATGATCAGACCCATTCCTCCGCAGTCCAAACCCAAAACCTCTTCTGAAGCATGAAACAATGTCTGGATTGGCTTCACCTTTTACTGGCTGCTGTGTGTCCACTGGAACAGGGCATGGGACTGGGACACACACTGGGTCCAGTTAGGTTCCAGTTCCTCGGGTTCGTCAACAGCACACCTGTTTTAAGACTCGATTTATCAGGGTTCTGATCAGAACTTCAATTCCTACACTGAGATGAACATCCTGCTCTGAATGAGGCGCAAACTTCTGGAACCCAGTGGAACCTGAACAGGAACCTGATGAGTGTGTTTCCTGGACCTTCAGCCCTGCCAGCTTCATCAGAACCAGCTTCAGCTTCCTGTCCCATGACCAAGCTGTCCTCCTACCTGTCCAGGTGTACGTCTCAGCCGGTCAGTCCTATGAGCTGGAGACGAAGCTGCGGCGTCTAGAGCAAAGCGCCAAGAACCGTTTTGGGGGGACGACGGACTCTGAGCTGTCGGAGCTGGAGGACGTGGTGGCGCTGACTGCCGCCAGAGTGCAGAGCGCCGAGAGCGAGGTTAGCCAGACGGCGCCAGCAGACGTCACGTCGGTCCAGAAGCTTGTTTCCATTACTCACTGTGTCTGTTTGCCCAGCAGGTGTCGGACATTGAGAGTAAGATCGCAACTCTGAGCGCCAAGAAGAAGGTCAGTGTGACAGCAGAGCCCAGCCTTCCGGTCTGTGGTTCGGTGGTGGAAGCCATGTCTCTGTGAACCCACAGATTAGTTCAGATTATCCTCAGTGTTCGGACTAAGATTAAACCAACTCATGTGTTTGGATCGCGGTTCTCCTGGAACCTTTGCAGTTCTCATATTAGTGAATCGACCTGTATGTTCTGCTGGGGAAAATGGTGCCCTCCAGTGGATTCACTGAAGCATTACAGTGGATAGTTTGCAGACCAAAAACATCCCACGTTCAGAGAGCAACCGTTGTCTTTCACATGACGGGGATGAAAACCTTCTGCTCTGTTTTGGTTTTTGTGACCCCCAGATATTTCAGGCCTGTGTAAAAAACCGAGACCCGTGTTCTGTCAGATCAGGATTCCCATAGTCAACAGACATGCGCCAGACGTCAGTTTTACGTTTAGCCTTTTAGTTTTGTACGAAAAATCGACTTTAAACTACATCAACGGGCATTTATCCCTTTAGTCATTTAAGGTCAGATCACCATATGATTGAACAAACACCTGTGGTCGGAAAATGTAGATTTCTCTTGTTTCATATATTTAGTTATGCTGTTTATCCAGTGAAAATGTTTTTATTCAGTTTGTTTCACCTGCAAGGCCACAAAATGTCTGAGGAAGACGTCTTTGCATACAAGAAATACTTCTTCCATAACAAGCCAAATTCTTTCTTACGAATTGTTATCGTTTAATCAAAGTGTGTCATTTGTTTTCACAACCTTCACAGCTTTTTCCTCATTATAAGTAAGGGAGACAGATCAGAACAGGGCTGATTACCACGATCAACTGTTCTTTAAACTACCTCAGAAGTAAAGGGTTAAACGGGTATTGACTCTGGGTCTGCTGGTCTGACTGGTTTCGCTCATCTGACAGAACACCGGGATTAGAACCTTTAGATAAATCTAAAGGTCTGAGACGCCGGATCATGTTGTGTTTTATCGGGTTTTATCCTGTATTCTAACTGGAAAGTTTCTGTTGCAGGTTTCTGGACCTCACCAGAAGAAAAGGGCAGCTTCAGACGCGCCGAGTGAGAAACTTTTCTTATCTTCCTGACTGTTAATCGAACGTTAGCCTGGCGCTGCTGACCCGCTCTAACCTGTTGTTGACAGAGAGTAACGGGGCTCCCTGGAGGTCCAGCACCAGGTTCTGATCCAGTTCCAGTTCAGGATCCTCTTCCTGCTTTTCTTCAGCCTCCTTCACTAATGTTGGCAGATCAGAACCAGGATCAGAGGCCCTTTATGGACCCAGATTCTCCATGACAGAACCGCCTGTTCCACCCAAACAGAAACGGGTCCAACAGACGATGGAAGTGATTTAAGGAAGAACTCCTTCCTTCTGAAACCAAACATTATTCCTTATATCAGTTTGGATCAGAACTGAGAGGTTCCGACCCAGTTTGTGTTCCCTAAAGTCTTCCATCGGCCTGCATCTGATCGGTTCTGGGTTCATCCGACCAATAAGATCCTTCTTTAAGCTTCAAATTCCGAAAAAGTATCACATCCCAGAATGTTTCCACTTTAAGTAATAAATGAGAAGAAGGTCTAAACTGATCTGATCCTCGTAGATAAATGATGGTATGAATGTTATTAACATTTTATAAATCACTGAAACAGAACCTGTCTGACTGCATGAAGTAGGCTAAAAGATCTGTAAAGGCAGAAAATCACCACTTCAGGTTCTGATGAGTCTCTGACCTCCATCAGTCTAGAAAGGGTTCCGAACCATTTCTAAGACTTTGGACTCCGGAGAACCAGAGTCAGAACCAGGATCCACACATGGAACCTAACCCTAACCACCACCATTACTCCAGGAGGTCCTCAATGACTCATCCAGGAGGTTCAGGAGCATCTAGAGCTCTACAGGCCTCACTGCTCCAGTTAAGGTCAGAGGTCACGGCCCAACAGTCACAAAGAGACTGGTTCCAGGACCACTGCCGACCCAAATGAAACATAAAGACCCGGCGCACATTCTCAGAGACCGCTACACTCAGACATGGTGGTGGTGGTGTGATGGTCTGGGTCTGTGATTGATGGAGCCATGAGTTCTGCCCTCTAGTGGAAGATCCACTTGGTCCACCTCTGAAAAAGCTGCTTTGTGGGTGGCCTAGTCAAAGTCTGAGATGCTGGAAGCCTTCAGCAAAGCCAAGTCAAAGACTCGGTAGCAGTTATCAGAACCGCCTAGATGTAGGTCCAGGGAGTGATTACTTTTATGGATGTTTATCTTAATAAGTGACTAATGATTGAAAACAGTTTTTAATTTTCTCTTAGATGACCTTTGATAAAAACATGGGAGCTGAACCATTTGGACCTTTGTTAGACTCTGATCCAATCACTAAATCCTGCTGATTCTCTAACATGTTCATCGCATTAAATAAACTCAATAAACAGCCTGTTGGTCTCTGCTGGTTTCTGGGGGGGTTAAATCTAAACAACCAATAATTTATCCATAAATAAAGTAGCCAACCGCTACAACCGTCAGTCCCTCCATCAGGCAGTCAGTCCCTCCATCAGGAAGTCAGTCTGTCCATCAGGCGGTCAGTCTGTCCATCAGGCAGTCAGTCTGTCCATCAGGAAGTCAGTATCTCCATCAGGCGGTCAGTCTGTCCATCAGGCAGTCAGTCCCTCCATCAGGCAGTCAGTCTGTCCATCAGGAAGTCAGACTGTCCATCAGGAAGTCAGTATCTCCATCAGGCGGTCAGTCTGTCCATCAGGCACACTGCAAAAAATATAAATCTCAATAAGTTATTTTTTCTTAAAATAAGTGTGTTTTTCCTTGATTTGAGGAGGTAAGTAAGACACTTTGCCAATGGAACAAGACAATTTCCTTTTAAAATAAGAAAAAACTATTTTATCGTCTTATTTCAAGTAAATATTATCTAACTATCTTATTTTAAGAGTGAAAATACTCATTCCATTGGCAAATCATCTTATTTACCTGCTCAAATTAAGGCTAAATATACTTAATTTAAGCCATTTTTTACTTATTTCTGGATTGTTTTTGCAGTGCAGTCAGTCTGTCCATCAGGAAGTCAGTCTGTCCACCAGGCAGTCAGTCTGTCCATCAGGCAGTCAGTCCCTCCATCAGGAAGTCAGTCCCTCCATCAGGAAGTCAGTCTGTCCACCAGGCAGTCAGTCTGTCCATCAGGAAGTCAGTCTGTCCACCAGGCAGTCAGTCTGTCCATCAGGAAGTCAGTCTGTCCACCAGGCAGTCAGTCTGTCCATCAGGAAGTCAGTCTGTCCATCAGGCAGTCAGTCTGTCCATCAGGAAGTCAGTCTGTCCATCAGGCAGTCAGTCTGTCCATCAGGAAGTCAGTCTGTCCATCAGGCAGTCAGTCTGTCCATCAGGAAGTCAGTCTGTCCATCAGGCGGTCAGTCTGTCCATCAGGCAGTCAGTCTGTCCATCAGGCAGTCAGTCTGTCCATCAGGCGGTCAGTCTGTCCATCAGGCAGTCAGTCCCTCCATCAGGAAGTCAGTCCCTCCATCAGGAAGTCAGTCCCTCCATCAGGAAGTCAGTCCCTCCATCAGGAAGTCAGTCTGTCCATCAGGCAGTCAGTCTGTCCATCAGGAAGTCAGTCTGTCCATCAGGCGGTCAGTCTGTCCATCAGGCAGTCAGTCTGTCCATCAGGTGGTCAGTCTGTCCATCAGGCGGTCAGTCTGTCCATCAGGAAGTCAGTCTGTCCATCAGGAAGTCAGTCTGTCCATCAGGCGGTCAGTCTGTCCATCAGGCAGTCAGTCTGTCCATCAGGCGGTCAGTCTGTCCATCAGGAAGTCAGTGTGTCCATCAGGCGGTCAGTCTGTCCATCAGGCAGTCAGTCTGTCCATCAGGCGGTCAGTATCTCCATCAGGCAGTCAGTCTGTCCATCAGGCAGTCAGTCTGTCCATCAGGCGGTCAGTCCCTCCATCAGGCAGTCAGTCTGTCCATCAGGAAGTCAGTCTGTCCATCAGGCGGTCAGTCTGTCCATCAGGCAGTCAGTCTGTCCATCAGGCGGTCAGTCTGTCCATCAGGAAGTCAGTCTGTCCATCAGGCGGTCAGTCTGTCCATCAGGCAGTCAGTCTGTCCATCAGGCAGTCAGTCTGTCCATCAGGCAGTCAGTCCCTCCATCAGGCAGTCAGTCTGTCCATCAGGAAGTCAGTCTGTCCATCAGGAAGTCAGTCTGTCCATCAGGCGGTCAGTCTGTCCATCAGGCAGTCAGTCTGTCCATCAGGCGGTCAGTCTGTCCATCAGGAAGTCAGTCTGTCCATCAGGCGGTCAGTCCCTCCATCAGGCAGTCAGTCTGTCCATCAGGAAGTCAGTCTGTCCATCAGGAAGTCAGTCTGTCCATCAGGCGGTCAGTCTGTCCATCAGGAAGTCAGTCTGTCCATCAGGCGGTCAGTCTGTCCATCAGGAAGTCAGTCTGTCCATCAGGCGGTCAGTCTGTCCATCAGGCAGTCAGTCTGTCCATCAGGAAGTCAGTCTGTCCATCAGGCGGTCAGTCCCTCCATCAGGCAGTCAGTCTGTCCATCAGGCGGTCAGTCTGTCCATCAGGCAGTCAGTCTGTCCATCAGGAAGTCAGTCTGTCCATCAGGCAGTCAGTCTGTCCATCAGGCGGTCAGTCTGTCCATCAGGAAGTCAGTCTGTCCATCAGGCGGTCAGTCCCTCCATCAGGCAGTCAGTCTGTCCATCAGGCGGTCAGTCTGTCCATCAGGCAGTCAGTCTGTCCATCAGGCGGTCAGTCTGTCCATCAGGAAGTCAGTCTGTCCATCAGGCGGTCAGTCTGTCCATCAGGCAGTCAGTCTGTCCATCAGGAAGTCAGTCTCTCCATCAGGCGGTCAGTCTGTCCATCAGGAAGTCAGTCTGTCCATCAGGCAGTCAGTCTGTCCATCAGGCGGTCAGTCTGTCCATCAGGCGGTCAGTATCTCCATCAGGCGGTCAGTATCTCCATCAGGCAGTCAGTCCGTCCATCAGGCAGTCAGTCTGTCCATCAGGCAGTCAGTCTGTCCATCAGGCGGTCAGTCTGTCCATCAGGAAGTCAGTCTGTCCATCAGGCAGTCAGTCCCTCCATCAGGCAGTCAGTCCCTCCATCAGGCGGTCAGTCTGTCCATCAGGCAGTCAGTCTGTCCATCAGGCAGTCAGTCTGTCCATCAGGAAGTCAGTCTGTCCATCAGGCGGTCAGTCTGTCCATCAGGCAGTCAGTCCCTCCATCAGGCAGTCAGTCCGTCCATCAGGCAGTCAGTCCGTCCATCAGGCAGTCAGTCTGTCCATCAGGCAGTCAGTCTGTCCATCAGGCAGTCAGTCCGTCCATCAGGCGGTCAGTCTGTCCATCAGGCAGTCAGTCTGTCCATCAGGCGGTCAGTCTGTCCATCAGACAGTCAGTCCGTCCATCAGGCAGTCAGTCCCTCCATCAGGCAGTCAGTCTGTCCATCAGGCAGTCAGTCCGTCCATCAGGCAGTCAGTCCCTCCATCAGGCAGTCAGTCTGTCCATCAGGCAGTCAGTCTGTCCATCAGGCAGTCAGTCTGTCCATCAGGCAGTCAGTCTGTCCATCAGGCAGTCAGTCTGTCCATCAGGCAGTCAGTCTGTCCATCAGGTGGTCAGTCTGTCCATCAGGATGTCAGTCTGTCCATCAGGCAGTCAGTCTGTCCATCAGGTGGTCAGTCTGTCCATCAGGTGGTCAGTCTGTCCATTAGGTGGTCAGTCTGTCCATCAGGCAGTCAGTCTGTCCATCAGGCGGTCAGTCTGTCCATTAGGTGGTCAGTCTGTCCATCAGGCAGTCAGTCTGTCCATCAGGTGGTCAGTCTGTCCATCAGGCAGTCAGTCTGTCCATCAGGCAGTCAGTCTGTCCATTAGGTGGTCAGTCTGTCCATCAGGCGGTCAGTCTGTCCATCAGGAAGTCAGTCTGTCCATCAGGCGGTCAGTCTGTCCATCAGGAAGTCAGTCCCTCCATTAGGTGGTCAGTCTGTCCATCAGGTGGTCAGTCTGTCCATCAGGCAGTCAGTCTGTCCATCAGGCAGTCAGTCTGTCCATCAGGAAGTCAGTCCCTCCATCAGGCAGTCAGTCTGTCCATCAGGCGGTCAGTCTGTCCATCAGGCAGTCGGTCTGTCCATCAGGCGGTCAGTCTGTCCATCAGGCAGTCGGTCTGTCCATCAGGCGGTCAGTCTGTCCATCAGGCAGTCAGTCTGTCCATCAGGCGGTCAGTCTGTCCATCAGGCAGTCAGTCTGTCCATCAGGAAGTCAGTCTGTCCATCAGGCGGTCAGTCTGTCCATCAGGCAGTCAGTCTGTCCATCAGGCGGTCAGTCTGTCCATCAGGCGGTCAGTCTGTCCATCAGGAAGTCAGTCTGTCCATCAGGCGGTCAGTCTGTCCATCAGGCAGTCAGTCTGTCCATCAGGAAGTCAGTCTGTCCATCAGGCAGTCAGTCCCTCCATCAGGCAGTCGGTCTGTCCATCAGGCGGTCAGTCTGTCCATCAGGCAGTCAGTCTGTCCATCAGGCAGTCAGTCTGTCCATCAGGAAGTCAGTCTGTCCATCAGGCGGTCAGTCTGTCCATCAGGCAGTCAGTCCCTCCATCAGGCGGTCAGTCTGTCCATCAGGCAGTCAGTCTGTCCATCAGGCAGTCAGTCTGTCCATCAGGAAGTCGGTCTGTCCATCAGGCGGTCGGTCTGTCCATCAGGCGGTCAGTCTGTCCATCAGGAAGTCAGTCTGTCCATCAGGCAGTCAGTCTGTCCATCAGGAAGTCAGTCCCTCCATCAGGAAGTCAGTCTGTCCATCAGGCGGTCAGTCTGTCCATCAGGAAGTCAGTCTGTCCATCAGGCAGTCAGTCTGTCCATCAGGAAGTCAGTCCCTCCATCAGGAAGTCAGTCTGTCCATCAGGCGGTCAGTCCCTCCATAAGGCAGTCAGTCTGTCCATCAGGCAGTCTGTCCATCAGGCAGTCAGCCCCTCCATCAGGCAGTCTGTCCATCAGGCAGTCAGTCCCTCCATCAGGAAGTCAGTCCCTCCATCAGGCAGTCAGTCCCTCCATCAGGCAGTCAGTCTGTCCATCAGGCAGTCTGTCCATCAGACAGTCAGTCCCTCCATCAGGAAGTCAGTCCCTCCATCAGGCAGTCAGTCCCTCCATCAGGAAGTCAGTCCCTCCATCAGGCAGTCAGTCTGTCCATCAGGAAGTCAGTCTGTCCATCAGGCAGTCAGTCTGTCCATCAGGAAGTCAGTCCCTCCATCAGGAAGTCAGTCTGTCCATCAGGTGGTCAGTCCCTCCATCAGGAAGTCAGTCTGTCCATCAGGCAGTCAGTCTGTCCATCAGGAAGTCAGTCCCTCCATCAGGAAGTCAGTCTGTCCATCAGGTGGTCGGTCCCTCCATCAGGAAGTCAGTCTGTCCATCAGGTGGTCAGTCCCTCCATCAGGAAGTCAGTCCCTCCATCAGGAAGTCAGTCCCTCCATCAGGAAGTCAGTCCCTCCATCAGGCAGTCAGTCTGTCCATCAGGAAGTCAGTCTGTCCATCAGGCAGTCAGTCTGTCCATCAGGAAGTCAGTCCCTCCATCAGGAAGTCAGTCTGTCCATCAGGTGGTCAGTCCCTCCATCAGGCAGTCAGTCTGTCCATCAGGCAGTCTGTCCATCAGGCAGTCAGCCCCTCCATCAGGCAGTCTGTCCATCAGGCAGTCAGTCCCTCCATCAGGAAGTCAGTCCCTCCATCAGGCAGTCAGTCCCTCCATCAGGCAGTCAGTCTGTCCATCAGGCAGTCTGTCCATCAGACAGTCAGTCCCTCCATCAGGAAGTCAGTCCCTCCATCAGGCAGTCAGTCTGTCCATCAGGCAGTCTGTCCATCAGGCAGTCAGTCCCTCCATCAGGCAGTCTGTCCATCAGGCAGTCAGTCCCTCCATCAGGCAGTCTGTCCATCAGGCAGTCAGTCCCTCCATCAGGAAGTCAGTCTGTCCATCAGGCAGTCAGTCTGTCCATCAGGCAGTCAGTCTGTCCATCAGGAAGTCAGTCCCTCCATCAGGAAGTCAGTCTGTCCATCAGGCGGTCAGTCCCTCCATAAGGCAGTCAGTCTGTCCATCAGGAAGTCAGTCTGTCCATCAGGCGGTCAGTCCCTCCATAAGGCAGTCAGTCTGTCCATCAGGCAGTCTGTCCATCAGGCAGTCAGTCCCTCCATCAGGCAGTCAGCCTGTCCATCAGGTGGTCAGTCTGTCCATCAGGCAGTCAGTCTGTGTAAATTCTGTAAATGCTGTAGATGTTCTAACTAACAGAAAATAGCTGCTGATGAAACATTTCAGTTTTTAGTTTAACCTCATTTAGTCATCTGTGCTTTTATTTTGAAAACCAATTTCTGTAACGATCTTGGTTCTGTTGTTTTTCTCTAAGTTCATCCAGTTTTTTCCTTGTTTTTTAGCTTTATTGGTGTCTGGATTCATAAAAGTTGCTTAGGTTTTCCTGTCTGTCCTCTGCTGCCCCCTTGTGTTCTTTTCCCTTGGCTTCCTCATCAGCTCCAATCACACCTGCTCCCTATCAGCTCGTTAGTCCTGCCTTTGTTCAGTCAGCCATAAGTACGCTCCCTCTGCTGGTTTCTCGTCTTACCTCTTCTCACCCTGTCTCCTTGATGGTTTCCCCCTGATGTCTTCATGGTTCTGGTTTGTTTTTTATTTTTATGCCGGATTTTTTAGATACCTGTTTTTGCTGCTTGATCTTCATTAAACCTTTTAAGAACTCGCCCTGCCTGTCAGCCTCTGCATTTGGGTCCTCATAAAAACCTCCAAACAAATCCTGACAAATTTCCTTGTGTTATTAAATTATCTCTACTTTGTAAAGATAATTTAATGTCAGCTTTTATTTAACTCGCAGTAGTTTAAACTTTAGCAAAGCCCAAAATAATAATGAAACAGATGCTGACCTTTATAGGTCAACGTTCAATTTCCGGTGTTTATTGTCTAAGCTCTTAATTTGTAGGTGAACTTCCGCCGCTCCACCTCCGCAGCGGCGCAGCGGTGACGCAGCAGCGGTGACGCAGCAGCGGCGCAGCGAGCAGAGGAGGAGGAGGCGGATCAGCGGGCAGACGGGCCGCTGCACAGACCGAACCCTGATCTGGACCCTCAGACCGACCAGGACCGAACCTGCGGTTTAAGGCAGAGACCGGATTACATCATGGGTTCTACTGGATCCGAACCGAACCTCTAAGTTATCTGGACCTAACAGGTAAAAACCACTGAGGGATGCGGTTCATCTGGATCCAGATCCACAGACCGAACCGCTGAGTCTAGAACCGGAACCATCCTGCAGCCATTCCTCCATCACCGCAGGTTCTGGACCTCAGGGGGGTTCGGCTGCAGGTAGAGCCGCCCAGAACCATGGGAACCCAGGGCCCCGGCCGGAAGAGGGTCCCGAACCGGGACAGGCTGGCTGCGGAGGAGGATGCGCTCAGTCAGATAGCGCGAGAGGTAAAGAGGATCCTCATTAAGAAACAGGCTGATAAATGATAAACAGGCTGACCAATGATAAACAGGCTGACCAATGATAAACAGGCTGATTAATGATAAACAGGCTGAACAATGATAGACAGGCTGACCAATGATAAACAGGCTGAACAATGATAGACAGGCTGATTAATGATAAACAGGCTGATTAATGATAAACAGGCTGACCAATGATAAACAGGCTGATTAATAATAGACAGGCTGATTAATGATAAACAGGCTGAACAATGATAGACAGGCTGATTAATGATAAACAGGCTGATTAATGATAAACAGGCTGATTAATAATAGACAGGCTGATTAATGATAAACAGGCTGAACAATGATAGACAGGCTGATTAATGATAAACAGGCTGATTAATGATAAACAGGCTGACCAATGATAAACAGGCTGAACAATGATAGACAGGCTGATTAATGATAAACAGGCTGACCAATGATAAACAGGCTGATTAATGATAAACAGGCTGATTAATGATAAACAGGCTGACCAATGATAAACAGGCTGATTAATGATAAACAGGCTGACCAATGATAAACAGGCTGAACAATGATAGACAGGCTGATTAATAATAGACAGGCTGATTAATGATAAACAGGCTGATTAATGATAAACAGGCTGACCAATGATAAACAGGCTGATTAATGATAAACAGGCTGACCAATGATAAACAGGCTGGACAATGATAAACAGGCTGATTAATAATAGACAGGCTGACCAATGATTAACAGGCTGATTAATAATAAACAGGCTGACCAATGATAAACAGGCTGATTAATGATAAACAGGCTGAACAATGATAGACAGGCTGATTAATAATAGACAGGCTGGACAATGATAAACAGGCTGACCAATGATAGACAGGCTGATTAATGATAAACAGGCTGACCAATGATAAACAGGCTCATTAATGATAAACGGACTGACCAATGATTAACAGGCTGATTAATGATAAACAGGCTGACCAATGATAAACAGGCTGATTAATAATAAACAGGCTGACCAATGATAAACAGGCTGATTAATAATAAACAGGCTGATTAATGATAAACAGGCTGAACAATGATAGACAGGCTGACCAATGATAAACAGGCTGATTAATAATAGACAGGCTGATTAATGATAAACAGGCTGAACAATGATACACAGGCTGTTTAATAATAGACAGGCTGATTAATGATAAACAGGCTGAACAATGATAGACAGGCTGACCAATGATAAACAGGCTGAACAATGATAAACAGGCTGATTAATAATAGACAGGCTGATTAATGATAAACAGGCTGAACAATGATAGACAGGCTGATTAATGATAAACAGGCTGAACAATGATAAACAGGCTGATTAATAATAGACAGGCTGATCAATGATAAACAGGCTGAACAATGATAGACAGGCTGACCAATGATAAACAGGCTGAACAATGATAAACAGGCTGATTAATAATAGACAGGCTGATCAATGATAAACAGGCTGAACAATGATAGACAGGCTGACCAATGATAAACAGGCTGAACAATGATAGACAGGCTGACCAATGATTAACAGGCTGAACAATGATAGACAGGCTGATTAATAATAGACAGGCTGACCAATGATTAACAGGCTGAACAATGATAAACAGGCTGATTAATAATAGACAGGCTGATCAATGATAAACAGGCTGAACAATGATAGACAGGCTGACCAATGATAAACAGGCTGAACAATGATAGACAGGCTGATTAATAATAGACAGGCTGACCAATGATAGACAGGCTGACCAATGATAAACAGGCTGATTAATAATAGACAGGCTGATTAATGATAAACAGGCTGAACAATGATAGACAGGCTGATTAATGATAAACAGGCTGAACAATGATAAACAGGCTGATTAATAATAGACAGGCTGATCAATGATAAACAGGCTGAACAATGATAGACAGGCTGACCAATGATAAACAGGCTGAACAATGATAAACAGGCTGATTAATAATAGACAGGCTGATCAATGATAAACAGGCTGAACAATGATAGACAGGCTGACCAATGATAAACAGGCTGAACAATGATAGACAGGCTGACCAATGATAAACAGGCTGATTAATAATAGACAGGCTGACCAACGATAAACAGGCTGATTAATAATAGACAGGCTGATTAATGATAAACAGGCTGAACAATGATAGACAGGCTGATTAATGATAGACAGGCTGACCAATGATAAACAGGCTGATTAATAATAGACAGGCTGACCAATGATAAACAGGCTGAACAATGATAGACAGGCTGATTAATAATAGACAGGCTGATTAATGATAAACAGGCTGATTAATAATAGACAGGCTGATCAATGATAAACAGGCTGAACAATGATAGACAGGCTGACCAATGATAAACAGGCTGAACAATGATAGACAGGCTGACCAATGATAAACAGGCTGATTAATAATAGACAGGCTGATCAATGATAAACAGGCTGAATAATAATAGACAGGCTGATCAATGATAAACAGGCTGAACAATGATAGACAGGCTGACCAATGATAAACAGGCTGATTAATAATAGACAGGCTGATCAATGATAAACAGGCTGATTAATAATAGACAGGCTGATCAATGATAAACAGGCTGATAAATGATAGACAGGCTGATTAATGATAAACAGGCTGAACAATGATAGACAGGCTAATTCATAATAGACAGGCTGACCAATGATAAACAGGCTGATTAATAATAGACAGGCTGATTAATGATAAACAGGCTGAACAATGATAGACAGGCTGACCAATGATAAACAGGCTGATTAATAATAGACAGGCTGATTAATGATAAACAGGCTGAACAATGATAGACAGGCTGATTAATGATAAACAGGCTGAACAATGATAGACAGGCTGATTAATAATAGACAGGCTGACCAATGATAAACAGGCTGAACAATGATAGACAGGCTGATTAATGATAAACAGGCTGACCAATGATAGACAGGCTGATTAATAATAGACAGGCTGACCAATGATAAACAGGCTGACCAATGATAGACAGGCTGACCAATAATAAACAGGCTGACCAATAATAAACAGGCTGACCAATGATAAACAGGCTGTAAAATGATAAACAGCCTGATTAATAATAGACAGGCTGACCAATAATAGACAGGCTGATTAATGATAAACAGGCTGACCAATGATAGGCAGGCTTATTAATAATAAACAGGCTGACCAATGATAGACAGGCTGACCAATGATAGACAGGCTGATTAATAATAGACAGGCTGACCAATGATAAACAGGCTGATTAATAATAAACAGGCTGACCAATGATAAACAGGCTGACCAATGATGGACAGGCTGATTAATAATAGACAGGCTGACCAATGATAAACAGGCTGACGAATGATAGACAGGCTGATTAATAATATACAGGCTGACCAATGATAGACAGGCTGACCAATGATAGACAGGCTGATTAATAATATACAGGCTGACCAATGATAAACAGGCTGACCAATGATAGACAGGCTGACCAATGATAAACAGGCTGACCAATGATGGACAGGCTGGACAATGATAGACAGGCTGACCAATGATAGACAGGCTGACCAATGATGGACAGGCTGGACAATGATAGACAGGCTGATTAATAATAGACAGGCTGACCAATTATAGACAGGCTGACCAATGATAGACAGGCTGACCAATGATAAACAGGCTGATTAATAATAAACAGGCTGACCAATTATAGACAGGCTGACCAATGATAGACAGGCTGACCAATGATAAACAGGCTGATTAATAATAAACCGGCTGACCAATGATAGACAGGCTGACCAACGATAGACAGGCTGACCAATGATAAACAGGCTGACCAATGATGGACAGGGTGATTAATAATAGACAGGCTGAACAATGATAAACAGGCTGACCAATGATAAACAGGCTGGACAATGATAAACAGGCTGAACAATGATAAACAGGCTGATTAATAATAGAGAGGCTGACCAATGATAGACAGGCTGATTAATGATAAACAGGCTGACCAATGATAAACAGGCTGACCAATGACACACAGGCTGACCAATGATAAACAGGCTGGACAATTATAGACAGGCTGATTAGGATGGATGGATGGATGGATGATTGATGGATGATGGATGGATGGATGGATAGATGATGGATGGATGGATGATGGATGATGGATGGATGGACTGATGGATGGACGGATGGATGGATGGATGGATGATGGATGGATGATGGATGGATGGATGGATGGATGATGGATGGATGGATGGATGATTGATGGATGGATGGATGATTGATGGATGATGGATGGATGGATGGATAGATGATGGATGGATGGATGATGGATGATGGATGGATGGATGATGGATGATGGATGGATGGATGATGGATGGATGGATGGATGATTGATGGATGATGGATGGATGGATGGATAGATGATGGATGGATGGATGATGGATGATGGATGGATGGACTGATGGATGGACGGATGGATGGATGGATGGTTGATGGATGGATGATGGACGGATGGATGGATGATGGATGGATGATGGATGGATGATGGATGATGGATGGATGGACTGATGGATGGATGGATGGATGATGGATGGATGGATGGATGGATGGATGATGGATGGATGATGGATGGATGGACGGATGGATGGATGGATGATGGATGGATGATGGATGGATGGATGGATGATGGATGATGGATGATGGATGGATGATGGATGGATGGATGGATGGATGGATGGATGATGGATGGATGATGGATGGACGGATGGATGGACGGATGGATGGATGGACTGATGGATGGATGGATGGATGGATGGATGATGGATGGATGATGGATGGATGGATGGATGATGGATGGATGATGGATGGATGGATGATGGATGATGGATGGATGGACTGATGGACGGATGGATGGATGGATGGATGATGGATGGATGATGGATGGATGGATGGATGATGGATGGATGATGGATGGATGGATGATGGATGATGGATGGATGGACTGATGGATGGACTGATGGATGGATGGATGGATGGATGATGGATGGATGATGGATGGATGGATGATGGATGATGGATGGATGATGGATGGATGGATGATGGATGATGGATGGATGATGGATGGATGATGGATGGATGGATGGATGGATGGATGGATGATGGATGGATGATGGATGATGGATGGACGGATGGATGGATGGATGGATGATGGATGATGGATGGATGGATGATGGATGATGGATAAATCATTTATAGTTTTATATATTTATAATCTTATGGTATAAAGTTAGTCTAGATTAGTTCGTAATCTATAGAAAGAAGGAACTAGTCAGCAGATTAAGGCGGTTTAATCAGATTGACAGGCTGATGGCGTCCCATGATGACATCAGAGAAGCTGTTTAACCGAGAAAATGGAAAAAAAATCAAAATGTCTCAGAAAAGTCATTAAAAGATGTTTTAAATCATTTAAGCATTCTTTAGTAAATTTACGGACAGAAATAATTAAATTTAGAACCATGATGACATCATTAATGGCGACCTGTTTGATGATGAGCTGATGGGACGGATCAGCTGGGGACAGTGTCTCTGTGTCCTTCAGGGGGACAGATGTCTGGTTCCCTCCTCTCAGACGAAGGAGACGGACACATGGGTCAATGATCCAATCAGGCATTACTGGTGCTCCCTCCCACTGACCCACTGGGAGAGGCCCAGTACTTACTGGGAGGGGATAACCTGCTTCAATAATCCTGAGCTCAGACAGCATCATCTTCATCAGCTGTTTTCATGCTTTTAATCCCAGAAGCCAGTTTGTCTTCAGAATAACGATCAAAGAGATGACATCAAAGAAGCAGATTAAATACTCTGATCAGATCTGTTCTAGATGCTGACATGTTTCTATGTCTGTCCCTCCGACCGATCGACGTCTGCTCCGCAGGCCGAGGCCCGGCTGGCGGCGAAGCGCGCGGCGAGAGCCGAGGCCCGGGAGATCCGGATGAAGGAGCTGGAGCGGCAGCAGAAGGAGGTGAGGGAGCGCTCTTATTCTGAAGGTCCGAAGGCTGTCTATAGGCTGATTGGATCAGAGGAAACGGCCGGGTCCTATGACAGCAGGTCAAAGGTCAGACTAGTGTTGCTCAGTCTGGGTGAGGATTAGATCAGCTCAGGACCTGGATCAGCTCCTCTGGTGAGTCTCAGAACTTTAATCCGGATCCAGAACTTCCTGATTCCTCTCAGGAAGTTCTGGAAAACTTTAGGTCCAACTGGTCAGGAGAAACCTGCAGTCATGTGACCCGGCTGCTGATCTGAGGTCAGCTGACTGTCTGGTTCTGATTGACTGCTTCAGCAGAACCAGCCTAATCCCAGACCAGAACCAGGACCAGAACCTGGAAAACCTGAAGATATTAAATCAGATTAATAGAAAAGAATCGATTTATGAGATGAAAAACATAAAATAATAAAGAATCAGGTGATCGACGCTGCTTAACCAATTATAGACCAATAACCTTTAGAGTGTAGATTAGACCCAGGTTTAGACCCGACCCAGGTTTAGACCCAGGTTTAGGGTTTCTATATATAGAAAAATAATTTGTTAAATGGGTTTAGAAAAACAACGTTAATGAAATTCACACAGCAATAGAAAATAAATAGAGAAGAATTTATTGATTTATTGATTTAAAAAAGCCTTTGACACCATTTGTTAAAGAAATTACAACTTTATGGAATTAGGATTAAATTGGATTAGAAATGCTGATAATTCTGCAGAAATATTAGACATTTAATCTGGAATTCCCCAAACTTCTGTTATTGAGCCCAAACTTTTTATTCTTTATTTAAATGATTTATGTGAAGCAGCAGAATTATTACAATCTGGATTATTTGCTGATGACAACATTTTATTCATGTCTGGAAATGAGTAAAATAATAAAAAACAAAAAGGTGAAAATAAAGAATTGGTTTAATAAAAACAAATTATCACTCAATGATGCTAAAACTAAATGTTTGTTTTTTCTAATTCCAGATTAGATCCAGTTATCTTTAAATGGAGAAAATATTCTTATTTCAGATGAAAAATTTCATCTCATGTAGACGGAATTAGAGAGAAATGAGAATATATTAATATAAAATATCTTTCATATTAATTATTATATATATGATATCATTACTATAAGTTTCTTCTTTCAGCTCCTTTTCACTCATTCAAACAATAATAGGAAGTTATTCAAGAAACGATGTTAAAAAAAACGAATGACTGAAATAAAATGGAAGTGAAATGAATAAAATTTAATCTGACAAAATGAAGAAATTAAGTAAATAAAATAAAACGACAGAAAAAAAGTGGCTAAAAACAGTTTGAAAGAAAAATGGCAAAAATCCAACAAAAAGTGATTTTGGATCAAATTCAGCAGAAATTGTTCTGGTTCTCAATCAGGAGCAGTTTGGGTGGAACTACATCATCTCAGATGGTCTAAGCCCCGCCCACCCAGCATCAGGCCCGCCCACCTGGCAACTTTAATCCAATCAGCACCCCCCATCCCATCCTAAGGGTCTGACAAAGCAGTCGGACCTTCGGGACGGTCCATCGTGTTAGTCGGACCTTCTGGATGGTCCATCTTGTTTGTTCGGACTTTCAGGACGGTCCATCTTGTTAGTCGGACCTTTGGGATGGTCCATCTTGTTAGTCGGACCTTCTGGATGGTGCATCTTGGTAGTCTGACCTTTGGGATGGTCCATCTTGTTAGTCGGACCTTCTGGATGGTGCATCTTGGTAGTCTGACCTTTGGGACGGTCCATCTTGTTAGTCGGACCTTCGGAATGGTCCATCTTGTTAGTCGGACCTTTGGGATGGTCCATCTTGTTAGTCGGACCTTCTGGATGGTGCATCTTGGTAGTCTGACCTTCGGGACGGTCCATCTTGTTAGTCGGACCTTCTGGATGATCCATCTTGGCAGTCGGACCTTCAGGATGGTCCATTGTGTTAGTCGGACCTTAAGGATGGTCCATCTTGTTAGTCGGACCTTCAGGACGGTCCATCTTGTTAGTCGGACCTTCTGGATGGTCCATCTTGTTTGTTCGGACTTTCGGGATGGTCCATCTTGTTAGTCGGACCTTCGGAATGGTCCATCTTGTTAGTCGGACCTTCTGGATGGTCCATCTTGGCAGTCGGACCTTCAGGATGGTCCATTGTGTTAGTCGGACCTTAAGGATGGTCCATCTTGTTAGTCGGACCTTCAGGACGGTCCATCTTGTTAGTCGGACCTTCTGGATGGTCCATCTTGTTTGTTCGGACTTTCGGGTTGGTCCATCTTGTTAGTCGGACCTTCGGAATGGTCCATCTTGTTAGTCGGACCTTTGGGATGGTCCATCTTGTTAGTCGGACCTTCTGGATGGTGCATCTTGGTAGTCTGACCTTCGGGATGGTCCATCTTGTTAGTCGGACCTTTGGGATGGTCCATCTTGTTAGTCGGACCTTCTGGATGGTGCATCTTGGTAGTCTGACCTTCGGGACGGTCCATCTTGTTAGTCGGACCTTCTGGATGGTCCATCTTGGCAGTCGGACCTTCAGGATGGTCCATTGTGTTAGTCGGACCTTAAGGATGGTCCATCTTGTTAGTCGGACCTTCAGGACGGTCCATCTTGTTAGTCGGACCTTCTGGATGGTCCATCTTGTTTGTTCGGACTTTCGGGATGGTCCATCTTGTTAGTCGGACCTTCGGAATGGTCCATCTTGTTAGTCGGACCTTTGGGATGGTCCATCTTGGCAGTCGGACCTTCAGGATGGTCCATCTTGTTAGTCAGACCTTCAGGATGGTCCATCTTGGCAGTCGGACCTTCAGGATGGTCCATTGTGTTAGTCGGACCTTAAGGATGGTCCATCTTGTTAGTCGGACCTTCAGGACGGTCCATCTTCTTAGTCGGACCTTCTGGATGGTCCATCTTGTTTGTTCGGACTTTCGGGATGGTCCATCTTGTTAGTCGGACCTTCGGAATGGTCCATGTTGTTAGTCGGACCTTTGGGATGGTCCATCTTGTTAGTCGGACCTTCTGAATGGTGCATCTTGGTAGTCTGACCTTCGGGATGGTCCATCTTGTTAGTCGGACCTTCTGAATGGTCCATCTTGGCAGTCGGACCTTCAGGATGGTCCATTGTGTTAGTCGGACCTTAAGGATGGTCCATCTTGTTAGTCGGACCTTCAGGACGGTCCATCTTGTTAGTCGGACCTTCTGGATGGTCCATCTTGGCAGTCGGACCTTCAGGATGGTCCATTGTGTTAGTCGGACCTTAAGGATGGTCCATCTTGTTAGTCGGACCTTCAGGACGGTCCATCTTGTTAGTCGGACCTTCAGGATGGTCCATCTTGTTAGTCAGACCTTCAGGATGGTCCATCTTGGCAGTCTGACCTTCAGGATGGTCCATTGTGTTAGTCGGACCTTAAGGATGGTCCATCTTGTTAGTCGGACCTTCGGGACGGTCCATCTTGTTAGTCGGACCTTCTGGATGGTCCATCTTGTTTGTTCGGACTTTCGGGATGGTCAATCTTGTTAGTCGGACCTTCGGAATGGTCCATCTTGTTAGTCGGACCTTTGGGATGGTCCATCTTGTTAGTCGGACCTTCTGGATGGTGCATCTTGGTAGTCTGACCTTCGGGACGGTCCATCTTGTTAGTCGGACCTTCTGGATGGTCCGTCTTGGCAGTCGGACCTTCAGGATGGTCCATCTTGTTAGTCAGACCTTCAGGATGGTCCATCTTGGCAGTCGGACCTTCAGGATGGTCCATCTTGTTAGTCGGACCTTCAAGATGGTGCATCTTGGTAGTCTGACCTTTGGGATGGTCCATCTTGGCAGTCGGACCTTCAGGATGGTGCATCTTGTTAGTCGGACATTCAGAATGGTCCATGTTGTTAGTCGGACCTTCAGGATGGTCCATCTTGTTTTTCAGACCTTCAGGATGGTCCATTGTGTTAGTTGGACCTTATGGATGGTCCATCTTGGCAGTCGGACCTTAAGGATGGTCCATCTTGTTAGTCAGACCTTCAGGATGGTCCATCGTGTTAGTCGGACCTTCTGGATGGTCCATCTTGTTAGTCGGACCTTCTGGATGGTCCATCTTGGCAGTTGGACCTTCAGGATGGTCCATCTTGTTAGTCAGACCTTCAGGATGGTCCATCTTGGCAGTCGGACCTTCAGGATGGTCCATCTTGTTAGTTGGACCTTCAAGATGGTGCATCTTGGTAGTCTGACCTTTGGGATGGTCCATCTTGGCAGTCGGACCTTCAGGATGGTGCATCTTGTTAGTCGGACATTCAGAATGGTCCATCTTGTTAGTCGGACCTTCAGGATGGTCCATCTTGTTTTTCAGACCTTCAGGATGGTCCATTGTGTTAGTCGGACCTTATGGATGGTCCATCTTGGCAGTCGGACCTTAAGGATGGTCCATCTTGTTAGTCGGACCTTCAGGATGGTCCATCGTGTTAGTCGGACCTTCTGGATGGTCCATCTTGTTAGTCGGACCTTCTGGATGGTCCATCTTGGCAGTTGGACCTTCAGGATGGTCCATCTTGTTAGTCAGACCTTCAAGATGGTGCATCTTGGTAGTCTGACCTTTGGGATGGTCCATCTTGGCAGTCGGACCTTCAGGATGGTGCATCTTGTTAGTCGGACATTCAGAATGGTCCATCTTGTTAGTTGGACCTTCAGGATGGTCCATCTTGTTTTTCAGACCTTCAGGATGGTCCATTGTGTTAGTCGGACCTTCTGGATGGTCCATCTTGGCAGTCGGACCTTAAGGATGGTCCATCTTGTTAGTCTGACCTTCAGGATGGTCCATCGTGTTAGTCGGACCTTCTGGATGGTCCATCGTGTTAGTCGGACCTTCTGGATGGTCCATCTTTGTACCAAGTGTTTCTAACCTGTCTCCACTGACTCTTCCCCTTTCTGCAGCTGTTCCACAGCACCAAGGTAGGTCCAACTCATGCAGGTCTTCTAGTCTCTTCTGGTTCCAGCTGCTTCTAATCTGTGATGGTGTTCTTCCACAGAAGTATTATGGTCTGGATAATAAGTGGGGTCACATCGAGCAGTGGATGGTAGGACCGGTTCTGACCGAGAGGAACCTCCTTCCTCCGTACAGCAGCCCATGTCGGGTCTGGTTCTGCTGTACAGGAGGAGGTTCTGCATGTTCTTAGTAGGCTTCTGCTGTGAGAACCTTGAAGTTCTGCATGTTCTTAGTAGGCTTCTGCTGTGGGAACCTGGAGGTTCTGCATGTTCTCAGAATGGTTCTGCTGTGAGAACCTGGAGGTTCTGCATGTTCCTCTCCGCTGCCCTCCTTCCCCATTATTTCTATTGAGCTTTAGTTTTTAATCACATTTTTTTCCAAATTGTTTGGTTTCCATTTCATTTTATGTCATTTCATTATTTTAATTTATGTAATTTATGTATTTTATAGTTTATTTTTATATATTTTTGAATTATTTTCCTTGGTCAACCTGCATGCTATCAGGATGCTGCTGTTGTTCACCATCACCTCCTGCCTTTAGCTCCATCCTAATATGTGTGTTTTAATCCCATCGGCATGTCTGACAGGCAGACTGTTCTCCCTGCTCTCCGTCTGTCAGGCTGACTGCTTATGCCTCTTTCTTCTTCTCCATCTGAAACTTGTTTCCTCTTCATGGCCTTTCAGGAGGACAGTGAGCGCTACTCGCGCCTTTCACGGAGACACGCCTCGGTCTGTATGTCTTCTTCTTCTGTGGTTTCCTGGACCCCTGACCAGCACACATTTATATTCTTATTGTGTGTCTGCAGGTCTCTGATGATGAGGAGAGGATGTCTGTGGGCAGCCGAGGCAGCTACAGGGTGAGTCGACCAGAAACCTTCTGAAGGTCCAAGAATCGTGGATAAGAGGCATGACTGCTTCCTTTTCAACCAGGCTGAACTAGCACAAACCAGTCTGAACGAACACAAACTAGTTTCAACCAGTCTGAACTAGCACAAACCAGTCTGAACTAACACCAACTAGTCTGAACTAACACAAACTAGTTTCAACAAGTCTGAACTAGCACAAACCAGTCTGAACTAGCACACACTAGTTTGAACTAGTCTGAATGAACACAAACCAGTCTGAACTAATGTAAGACAGGCGGAACTAGCACAAACCAGTCTGAACCTGCACCAACCAGTCTGAACTAACACCAACTAGTTTCAACCAGGCTGCACTAGCACAAACCAGTCTGAACTAGCACAAACCAGTCTGAACTAGCACCAACCAGTCTGAAGTAGCACAAACTAGTCTTAACTAGCAAATACTAGTTTGAACCAGTCTGAACTAGCACAGACCAGTCTGAACTAGCACAAACCAGTCTGGACTAGCACAAACCAGTCAAAACTAGCACAGACCAGGCTGAAATCAAACCAGGCTGAACTAACACACTCTAGTTTGAACCAGCCTGAACTAGCGTAAACCAGTCTGAACTAACACAAACCAGACTGAACTAGCACAAACCAGTCTCAACTAGCACAAACCAGTCAAAACTAGCACAGGCCAGTCTGAACTAGCACACACTAGTTTGAACCAGTTAGAACTAGCACACACTAGTTTGAACCAGTATCAAAACTATTTCAAACAGTTTCAAGACCTAGACAAAACAGTCTGACCTGGCACAAACTGCACTGTACTAGTCTGAACTAGCACAAAGCAGACAGAACCAGTCTGACCTGTATGAACTTGCACAAACTAGTGTGACCTAGAGTGAACTAGCTCAAATTAGTCTGAACTGGTGTGAACCAGTCTGACATTTCGCAACTAGCAGGAACCAGGCCGAACTGGTCTAAACTAACACAAAATTGTTCATTAAGAACAATCTGGTCTAACTAAACTAGTCTCCCTAAACCTGAACAAGGAATCTAGCCTTAACCAGTCGCAGCCTACTTTAGACTGACTAAACTAGTCTAAATTAGCCTGAACCAGTTTGTTACTGCTCTGATTATCGTTATCAGTTGGCTTGTCTAAAAGGTCTTTTTGTTTCTTTCTGTCCCTCCTTCCCACCTTTCCTTGATTGCTATGTTTCCTTCTCTCCTTTCCTCCTTTCCATGTTCTCCGTGTTTCCTTTTCTCCTTGCCACCGTTACTTATTTTCTGTTTCCTTCTCTCCTTTCCCCCTTTCCTGGTTCTCCGTTTTTCCATCCCTCCTTTCCTCCATTTCTTGTTCTCCTTGTTTCCGTCCCTCTTTCCCACTTTTCCTTGTTTCCTATTTTTCCTTCTTTCCTTTCCTCCTTTCCTGGTTCTCCGAGTTTCCTTTTCTCCTTGCCACTTTTTCTTGTTTCCTATGTTTCCTTCTCTCCTTGCCACCTTTCCTTGTTCCCTATGTTTCCTGCACCTTCTCTCCGCCCCCTAAGCCATCAGACTATGGCGGCCTCCTGGGCTCCAGCTCTCGGGCCTCCTCCAGGGCCAGTTCAGCCCGTGCAAGCCCTGTGGTGAGAGTGCTCCTCTTGCTCCCCCTGCTGACCATCTGTGGTGTTGCTGAGCAGTGTTTAGTTAATTTGATTGGTTGATTTGGGGTTCTGTGTCCTTTCAGGTGGAGGAGAGGGCGGACCGAGAGTTCATGGAAAAGGTGAGACTCTGCGGCAGGCGGCGATCAGACTGACTCAGTGTCTGGGTTTAACCATTGCTGTCTCCATCAGGGCTCCAGGACGGCGTCAACTTTGTCCGCCGCCACGCTGGCTTCGCTGGGCGGAGCCTCATCCCGTAGAGGAAGCTGTGACACGTCGTTCTCCGTGGAAACAGAGGCCTCAATCAGAGAAATGAAGGTAACCCAACCAGCAGACCTGGCACTGGGCAGGGCAGGTCCAGTTCTGTCCCATTAGAACTGACCAGGACAGATTGTGGATGCTGATGGTTTCCACCATGTCTGCGTCCTGCAGGACTCTCTGTTGGAGGCGGAGGAGAAGTACCGCAGAGCCATGATCTCCAACGCTCAGCTTCACAACGACAAAACCACTCTGATGTTCCAGGTGGAGAACCTGAGAGAGGAGCTCAGCGACATGGAGGAGCTGCTGTGGGAGGCCCGGCGCCGCTGGGAGGAGTCCAGCAAGGTCACAGGGTCACTAACTATGAAAAAGATGAAGAAGATGATGATGATGATGATGATGATGATGATGGAGCTTGCTTTGATGTCTCTCCAGGAGTTGGAGCGCGAGCGTCAGGCTAACAGCGTCCTGAAGGGCCAGTTCAAGGAGATGGAGGACAGGCTAAGACAGACCAACGAGACGCTGACGGTGAGGAGACCTCCGTCTATACACCCTGTTAGCAAGGGATTATGGGAAACCGTATAGAAACGCCACGCCTAGACACGTCAGGAGGTCCCTATGCTAAAGGAACCATGATAGGAAGCATCTAGCGTCCTCTTCATGGAGACCATTTCTGCTTCGGCTGACACATTCAGTTTAGTTCAGTTTAATTTCTATAGCACCGATTATCAGCTGGGTTCAAAGTTCAAAGGTCAGGAATGTTGGGAAGCAGCCTGACCTTCCCCTGGCTTCATGCTGGAATTCTGTGGTCAGCCTACTGTCCGGATAATCCTGGCTGTGAGGAAGGAGCTAGGACCCTGATGCTTGCTAGCACACATTCATTTAACAGAGGGAAGTACTGAGGTTCCCTGGATGGTCACTACCCACAATCCTTTGCATGAGTGGACTGATAGACACCACCCATTTCACGGAGTTTAATGACAACATCTAAGTTCTTACTTGTTCTCTGTGAGACGCATGATAATGTTCACACCTTCATATTTTTCGAGATCATCAGAGGTGGTATTTATTTAGAGACTTTGGGTTTTGTAGTTCTTTCCCTGAAGCCTGTAGTCCTAATTTGAGGAGGACTAGCAAAGCAGACCTTTAGCTCCTTTCTAACCCTGGATAGAGTTCTAACCCTGACCCAGTGAAAGGATAGCAGACCTGATTTTCCTCTTCTCTCTCTCTGCTGCTCTCTGCCACCCCCTGCTGGGCAGGAAGTCTCTGATCTGCGTCTAAAGAGCAGCAGCTACTGCCAGGAGGTCTCTGACCTTCAGGAAGCTCTGCAGTGGAAGGAGAAGAAGATAGCGGTAGGACGCCTCCTGCTTCCAGAGATTCTGTGGTTTCCAGAGGCAGAGGAGCTGGAAGCGGTTCACTGGTTATGGTCCAAATATTTCAGATGCATTCAGTGATGCTCTGTCTGACAAATGGCCGCAGTCTCAGATGTATCCTGGTCAGCTTTTGCTGAACAGGACCAGAACCCAGCTTGTTTTCTGCCTCTGTGAAACGTTTCCAGCTTTTCTCCTTCCTGTTTCCTTTCCTTTCTTCCTCTCTAACCTCCTACCTTAACTCCTCCTTACGCCAGGCCTTAGAGCGCCACCGAGAAACCTCCGACATCGTTCGAATCGAACGCGACCGGCTCAGAGATGAGGTGGTCCGGCTGCGAGACTCACTGAAGGTATTTGGACGCCGCTGTGGTTAGCAGACGTAGAGAGACCTGCAGATTGTCCCTCAGAGAGGAAGTTCCTCAGGTGCTCCTGTGGCACGGCCTCTTTCAGGTGCATTGGTTCAATCTGAACCCAAACCAAAGGTCCTTCCCCACAGGAGGGACAGTCTGAGGGGTTTCTGTGACTTGGGGTGTCTGTGTTAGGCGTTAATCCAGAGTTAGAGGGGTTACCTGCTCAGAATGGGTTTAGTGTCTGGTGAGCTCTGCAGTTTTTTCCTCATGTTGTAGCGTTATGGTCCTGATAGAGGACCAACCAGTTCTGGTCAGGATGTGTCCGAGCAGATGTTTATCTCCGTTATGGATCCATGGATGATCTCTGACTCTCTGACTAACAGAACCATGGAGTGGTTTTCTCTCCCGACACGTCGAACGGCGACGTGGAGCTGGCCGACGATGACTCCGCCTCCCCCCTAGCCGAGGACCCGCCTCACAGTGGCAGAGAGAGCGTGCTGGGTAGGAACCGTTACACCAAAACCATTTGACTTTACTAAACATTTCAAACATTTGATCTACTGAGATACGTGAGGTTCCTGTCTTTAGCTGATTGGTTCTGTCTGGTTCTAAATCAACATCTTCATTTCTGGGCTTTAGAAGATCAGAGGAACTGTCCTCCTGTAATTCCTCTATGATTCTTCTTTCCTCATCAACCTGAATAACCTCCTCTGCTGTCTGTCTTCCATCCTGAATGTCTGCTCCAGCCGCTCTTCCAACGTGTCTTCATGGTCTTTCAGGAAAAGCTTCAATGCAACAACCAGCAGAGGACAGCAAACCCCAAAGAGACCGGAAAGACGCCAAGCGGCAGCAGAGTCTGGACATGAACTCTACGAGCGACCAAAGCAGGGTGTCCAGAGAAAGACGGAACCCGGTCGATAAGCCACCAGGCAGAAACCGACCGCAGCGGAACAAGGGGGTGGAAAAGGATCCGACCAAGAGGCTTCCCTCTAGACTAGACCCAAACCAAGCAGACAACAAACAGCCAGACATGGACGGGTCTGCAGATCAGGCCTTCAATGATCAGAGTACGGCTCATTCTGTTGGAGATTTCAGAAAAAAGGGGGAATCTTCCAGGAAGGCCTTCGCTATTCAAAAGGTTTCTGGAGAAAAGGACTTCAGATCTAGACTCATTCCGCCTCGTCCTGCCAAGGAGATGATCATGGATAACCGAGCAATGGTTTCAGGTCTCTCAGCTTCTGGAAAACTGAAGTCTTCGTCAGACGAGACGATAAACCTGGACGTCTCCTTGGCTCTGGAAAACGAAGCGTCTTCCTCTGAAACAAGCACTGAACCAAAGGGAGACGTGACTGGTGAAGGTGGAGTCCCAGGTTTAGGTGAAGAAGGAGGCAGATCTGAAGCAGCAGGAGAAAACAGACAATCCAACCCTGAGTCGGTAGCTGGTGAAGAAGAGTCCGTCGTCAAGTCTGAATCCAAAGCACCTGTGGAGTATTCTCCTACCAGCCAGAGGACTGGAGAACCTCTCCACAGAGCTGCTGCGATGCACAAAGCTTTCCCCCAAAGCCTAAAGAGAACAACTGCCTTTGTTCCAGAAGAAATGTGGTCTAGTTTGGAGATGGCGGTTCAAGATTTGCTCCAAGGACTGGAGGACAAACCAGGGTTTGTGTTTGAGATCTCAAGAATCTTATCAGAAATTCTGATTTGTCTCCACCAGTGGATCTCAGACCTGGAAAACACTCTAAGGACGAGCTCAGGAGAGACGGCCGATCGGACTGTTGCAGATGGAGATAAATCTACGTGTCCAAAGATGGACGCCGGACTCTCCGCCAAATCAGGTCCTAATCCAAGGAGCCCAGCCAAACACCCCCCAGTTGGTCCCGGATGTGTGGAGAGACATCAGGCTGGACCGGCGGCCGGTTCAGAGGACCAATCTGCTTCCTCAGGTGGAGTTCCTTCACCTTGGAAGGATGACATCACCGCCGATGAGGCAGCAGAGACCAGTTTCAGACAAACGAAGCTGCAGATGAACGCTGAGTCTTGCTTAAATCTGAGTGGTTCTCCTGTAAAAAACACCTCTGCAGACTTTGTCTTTGTAGACTCCTACTTTGCTGAGCCGCGCAAAAACTCAGCAGAGTCCGTGTCTGATGTCAGTTTAGGACGGAGGTCCAATAGTCCGGCGCACGTCCAGCTTCCTACAGAGCTGAGAGGGAACCGCGCAGCCTGGGCTCAGCCTAACGCAGGTCAGAGTTCATCAGTCAGGAGATTCATGGAGGTGACGGCGGAGGAAATCCGAGCCTTGGCTGTTCCTGAACTCGCTCTGCTGGGTCTCCAAGAGGGAAGGCCACTGGAGCAGTCCGGCGCCGGTTCTGTAGAGGAGACAGCGGCTGCAGACATGGACAGCTGTGAGGAGGCTGACGAGGAGGAAGAGGAGGTCCAACAGCCTCTGTCCCAGCAAAGGACCAAGATGGACGACCAAAGTGTTCCAGGTGGGGGCAGCGTGGAACCAGAGAGGGGTCATGATCGAGCCAGTTTGGACAGCAGGAGAAATGAGAACTCAGACTGCAAGATTTCATGAGCTCAGAGGCGCCACCTGCTGCCGGTCCTCAGGAACTGTCCCTGTTCTGGACAGAAACGGCCCAGAATGAGGAGCGGCGCTCCATAGAAGACATCTTAGATGTGAAATGATTGAGAACGACTGATCTGGATGTTACTGAATATATGAAAACATGCAGAAATAAAGCTTTAGCTGAAGCTCGGTGTTCTGGTGGTTCTGTTCTAACAACGTTTCATCAGCAGAGGATGTTCTGCACCTGAAGGGTAAGCAAACTGTTTCCACATCCTTACAGCATCAGACATCTTGGACACAGTTTTCTGATCCAGATGAATCCAGCAGTTTATTCAAATAATTACCACCAGGAGCTGAAGCTCCAGCTGATCACAGGTCCTACCACAGAATCCGCTTTATTTCACCTGTCCTCTCGCCTCACTGCACCATCCGACCACATCGTCCTGATTGGTTCAGTTTCCATCTAAGGAAAACCAGCTGATTGCTGGAGTCCAGCATGGAGCTCAGAAATGGTGCAGAGCTTGAGGTCATGAAGGAGCTGAACGGCAGTGGAGACGTTCAGGTTGATGAGAAAAATGTTTAGAGGAACCATGAGATGATTGACCTTGAAGTCAGAAGAGTTTTAGCGTCTAGCTTGTCTCTACGGAGCCGTACGGTGACCGCACCACGCCGTGCGGCGCCGCAGAGCTCATCACTTCCTCTGACTTTCTGTTTCAGAGCTGCGGATGAAGAAGCTGTTTGAGGACAGAGAAGGTTTAAGGGATCAGGTCAGATCTGGAATCATATTTCTTATAAAAATCTGCCAGATGTTCTATAAAAACCCTTTGAATGTTTTTGTGTTCAGGTCCGGCTGCTGAAGTCTCAGCTGGATCAGCGGAGCAGCGCGGATGGAGTCCAGAACCCCGGGGGGAACGAGAGCGGCATAGATCCTCATCTGTTAGAGCTGCAGAGTAGGTCACTGGTTAGATCTGACGTCCATCGGCTCCACCGTGGATCCTGATCTCCTGATGTCTCACTCTCACCAGGAGACCACAGCCGGCAGATCAGTGAGCTCAAGTTCAAGCTGGTCAAATCCGAACAGGAAGTCACGACTCTGGAGCAAAACGTAAGCCCCGCCCCCTGTTCTTCCCGTCTGACCGTTTCACCTGTTCAATGGAAACCTGTGTCTCCCTGCTCAGTTGCTCCGCCTAGAGGGCCAGTTGTGTCGTTACAAGTCGGCGTCTGAGAACGCAGAGAGGATCGAAGATGAGCTGAAGGTGGAGAAGAGACGACTGCAGAGAGAGGTGAGCGCCCCCTGCTGCCTCCCAAAGCAGCAGCAGCTAGATGGGATTCCAGACCGTTTGGATCTAGGCTTTGTTTTCTGCATCCACCTGTCCTGCTCACCTCAGAGTGACCTTCCTTTCAGCTGCGCTCGGCTCTGGACCGCATCGAGGAGCTGGAGGTCAGTAACAGCCACCTGTCCAAGCGCCTGGAGAAGATGAAGGCCAACAGGAACGCTCTGCTCTCCCAGCAGTGATTCCCAGTCCACCCAGCAGCACCTCCTGAGGAACTCGTCTCCACAGAGGGACGCAGTCGGCACCGGGTGGGTGGAGGACACAGGCGCTGAGACAACCTGTCCAAAAGGAAGCCCCTCCAGCCCGGTTCTGACCCTCAGGTTCCTGTTCCACCTGTGGACTGGAGGTCTCCTGGTGGGGGGGCGGTTCCTCCATCCAGCCCGGTTCTGCAGGATGAATGGAGCCAGTGGTCTTAGAGGTTCCAGGTTCCCGGTCTCTGGTTCCCAGTTCCTGGTTCCTGGTTTCTGGTTCCAGTTCCTGGTTTCTGGTTCCTGGTTCCTGGTTTCTGGTTCCAGTTCCTGGTTTCTGGTTCCTGGTTCCTGGTTCTTAGTTCCTGGTTTCTGGTTCCTGGTTCCTGGTTTCTGGTTCCTGCTTTCTGGTTCCAGTTCCTGGTTTCTGGTTCCTGATTCCTGGTTCCTGGTTTCTGGTTCCTGATTCCTGGTTCCTGGTTCCTGGTTTCTGGTTCCTGATTCCTTGTTCCTGGTTTCTGGTTCCTGGTTTCTGGTTCCTGATTCCTCGTTCCTGGTTCCTGGTTTCTGGTTCCTGGTTCCTGGTTTCTGGTTCTTGGTTTCTGGTTCCTGGTTCCTGGAGCTATTTGCTGTCATGAACTCTGTTCAGTCAAATCTTTGTTCCTACAAACATTGAACTTTTGCTGCTCTGAAACAGCGTAGATAATCTCAGCAGGATCATCAGCATCCAGTAGAAGCTCCAGAGATCTGATTGGTGAATCTAGAAGCGACCGGCCAATCAAGAAGAAGCTACAAGAAAATCAATCATGAAGCGTGAAAAGCTTTTTGTTTCGCTCATATTTACTGTGAAATAATGAAGAAGAATAAAGTTCTTAGTTGGTGAAAGTTCCACCTGTAAACCGACTCTGTTTGTTCTGTTTCTATGAAGAAAAGGTTCCTCTGCTGCTTTGCATCCTTCAGATTTGCTATAAGGATCATTTCCCTTTGATGAAAGGGTGAACAGTCCATGAACATTAAAGCATTTCTCTCAACACATACGGTAAATATCCAGATTCTAGTGTTTCTGCAGGGTGGGGACTATTAATCTGATATCTGAGCCGACGGTGCTGCTGCTGAAGCTCCTCAGAACCCAGACCATGATCCATAGAACAGCTTCCTGTGCTGAAAGAAAGAAGCAGTTTAGGTCATGGAGAGTTCCTCTGGGCTCCTGCAGTCTGTGCTTCCGTCAACGGATTCTTTTATTACAGCCAACAGGAGACCCAGCAAGGTTGGAGACAGAATGTTTGATTTCAGTGGCTGAAAGTGACTCAATAACCATTAAAAACTATTTTCATTCATTTCAGACGCAACTATTCACAGAATGGGATTATATTAAACTGCACTTCCAATATTCACCACTGTTCGGCGCCATTTAGCTTTTTTCCTCAGAGCGCGGAGCAGGCTCTGATGTCTGTTTATTCCCTGGATTGGTAGGGTTGAGGTGAAGCCACCGGCCGCCATATTGGTACTCCCTAGTTAGATCGGTCTCATTGTGAGCAATCTGTGCGCTTCAGCATCGAACAACAATGATTTTCTCATTTTCTGAGTTTTAAAATCTCGATACTTTCTATTTTCTAAGGTTAGACCCAATGTCAGCGTCTAACTCAGTCAATGTCTTCCAGTCAGTCTGAGATAGCCAGACTAATGTTAGTCTGCAGACTAATGTTAGTCTGCAGACTATCCTATAGGATCCATGGGCTATAGATGGATTAATTGCTTAGTTCTTATTGGTTTGCTTTGCTCCTGCAGTACATCCTCTTTCTCTGCTCCCTGCTTTCTTGCACTTTCTGCTCTTTTTATCTCTTAACTAAAACTACAGAAAGTTGGATTTAGTTCGATTTATCGTCCTTGATTTATTTTTTATTTAGATTTTTTTCCCCGTGTGGACTATTTTAGTTTTCAGCTATTCCACACAAGATGCCAACGGACCCCCCCCCCCCCCCCCCACCACTGGCTGAGACCACAGAGAGATGTCCCAAGAGAAGTGAAACGAAAGCGGGATGTTCTCACAACAAATGATAGGAGTAAACCTGCTGGAAATGTTGGAATTCTGTTACAGAACAGATTTGCTTCACTCCAAGATGAGACCCAGAAGGATCACAAGGACAATCAAAGGTATGTCAACAATCGTCACTCTAAGCTACCAGAGGAAAAACAGGCCACAGGGCCAAGGACCCTGATATTATGCAGTGGATCTATACGTGGGATTAAACATTTCTGTACCAAGAAAAACACAGAGGTGTTGATTTATACCCGTTTGAACTGTGGCCTGGTGTCTAATGTATCAGACATCCTTCCAGAGATCAGGAAAAAACGCCCGACCTTGGAAAAACTCATCATACAAGCTGAAGCCTTGGGCGACGCAGCCCTGAGAAAATCAGAAATACTGAAAGAGGATTACATTCGTCTGCTGAATTTAGTTGATGGTCTTAATGTCAAGGTGTTTCTCAGCGGCCCTCAGGGGCCCATTAATTGTGGAGATGAAATGTTTTCCAGAGTTCTGATGTTAAACAAATGGCTGGATGCAACATGCAAACAGACAACTTTAACATCTTTTGGGAGAGGAGACATTTGTTCAACAGAGATGGTTTCTCTTTAAACAGGTCAGGAGCCAAACGGCTGATATCAAACATTCTGAAAGCCGCAGCGATGTGAAAAAACCAGCATCTTCTAAAAGCAGCAGAGCCCCAGATCCTCCTCTACATATCACGGAACGTCAGGACCTTCAGATAACTTCTCCGTGATCCACACCGGGCCCTGGCAACAAGCTTATCAGACATAACAGTTTCCAGCATCAGCTTGGGCCTTACACTGGAGCTTATGGAATATCTGTGATGATACGTGGCAGAAATAAGAAAAACAAAATGGGAACAAACAGGAACAGACACTTAAGAGTCATAAACTGTCAGATGCAGCCTGCTACGGAGACAACATCAACCACTAATTCATATAAACTGGCTTTATTAAACATTAGATCTCTGTCAGGAAAATCCCTTTTAATTAATGACTTTATTATTGACAATAATGTTGATGTTATGCTTTTAACAGAAACATGGTTACATGGACTTAATGAAGCACATATTCTGTTGGAGTCGTCTCCTCCAAACTACAATTTCCTTTGCGAGAGCAGACAGCAAAGGAAAGGTGGAGGAGTGGCAACATTGTTTAATGACTCACTGAAATGGAAAAAGGTGTTTTTGGGAAAATTTGACTCTTTTGAACATTTGGCTCTGCAGGTAAAGGGCCCTGTACGAACTATGTTTCTAAATGTTTACAGGCCTCCTAAGTCCACCTCAAACTTTTTTAATGATTTTAGTGACCTCCTGTCTGTGAAATGCGTTGATTATGACTGTTTAATTATTGTGGGAGACTTTAATTTTCACGTTGACAACCCTGAAGACAGAAGAGCAAAAGAACTGTGTGACACACTTAGAAACTTTGGTTTAACTCAACATGTTAAACAACCAACGCACAAACAGGGACATATTTTAGACTTGATCATCACTAAAGGTCTGAAGATTTCTAAAGTCAGTATTACTGATGTTGCCCTATCCGATCACTTTTCTGTTACCTTTGAGGGCATCATTTCCAGTGACTCATTTAGCCAAAGGGACATCATAAGAAAACTCACCTTTAAGGAAAATGCCACAGAAACTTTTATTGAAGCTTACTCTGCTACTTCAACCTTGGGGTGCAACTCAGTAGATGAGCTAGTAGATAACTTTCAGTCTACAGTCTCAGACATCATTAGCTGCATTGCTCCAATTAAAGTCAAAGAAAAAATCTCCTTGGAGAAGTGCTCCAGCAGTAAGAAGTGAAAACAGGGAGTGTGGAAAAGCTGAAAGTCATGTACGAATCTTGGCAAAAACAGGGCCTAATGGATGCAATCAGGTCATAAGCTAAGAGATTTCCACAGGTCATCCTGTCAGGTCGGAGCAACCTCTGGCCTTGACCAGTACACGGGAATTCCAGGAAGATTTCGACAGAGCATCCAGTCGCGCACGTACAAAGTTACATAGTGCGATGTGTATAAAAGCAGAGAGTTGGGAGAGAGCTGAGATATAAAGCGCTGTGATACTTGCACTGAGGACAGCATGTGGATTTGACCTGTCAAAATAAAAGCTTTTTTCCCTGTCCTGGGGGCAAATGAGATAATCGACTGAAGGCGTCCTGATTTTTGAGATTTTACCATTTGAGCCCCCAACTATCTAAAGTTAGCACACAACTTCAGTGGCTTCAGCTAGTAACCACTGATCAGGCCTCAAATCTAGGTGTAGTGCTGGATTCAGACTTGAACCTCCAAAAGCATTTAAAGACAACTAAAAGGTGGGCTTTCTATCACCTGAAGAACATTTCCAGGATTAAAGGACTAATGTCTCAGCATGATCTGGAAAAACTAATCCATGCGTTTATTTTTAGTCGAATTGATTACTGCAACGGTGTTTTCCCAGGTCTGCCTAAAAAGTGGATCAGACAGCTGCAGCTGATCCAGAACGCTGCTGCCCGTGTCCTCACTAAGACTAAGAAAGTAGAGCACATCATCCCAGTTCTAAAGTCCTTCCACTGGCTCCCTGTATCTCAGAGAATAGACTTTAAAATACTTCTGTTAGTCTATAAATCTCTGAATGGCTTAGCACCTAAATCCATCACAGACTTGCTATCAGTGTATCAACCCTCCAGACCACTCAGGTCTTCTGGCTCCAGCCTGCTCTGCAGACCTAGAACCAGAACTAAACATGGAGAAGCAGCATTTAGTTCCTATGCTCCACTTATCTGGAACAAACTTCCAGAAAACTGTAAAAGTGCGGAAAGCCTGAGTTCCTTTAAATCAAGACTAAAAACACATTTGTTTAGGATTGCCTTCCACTGTTCTAGTTAAACTAAAACATTATTAGTCCAACTGTTTTTAATGTTCTTTTTTGTTTCTGCATTATTAATTTTTTTTCCTACTTGCATTGATTCTGTTTTATTTTCCTATATTTTAATCACGTAAAGCAGGCATCCCCAGCCTCAGTCCTGGAGGCCCGCTATCCTGCAGGTTAGAGGTTTCCCTGCTTCAGCACAGCTGGTTATAATGACTGCAGTAGACCTAAAGCCCGTTAATCAGCTTTCAATTAAAATCAGCTGTGCTGGAGCAAGGACACCTCTGAAACCTG